CTGAGCGGCCCTGTGTGGCCACCCTTAGCAACAGCGTGGCCCCATGCCACAGAAACCACACCAGGACCACAGACAGACACCACAGCCTCTGCAGCCACCAGGAGAGGGAGAATGCACATGGGACTGGGTATGCCAAGGAGGACTGTAAGAGACCCAGGGAGAGATGGTGACAGGCAGGCCAGGGAGCAAACAGGCCTCTGCGTCTCCCAGAAATGCACGTGGTCCAGGGTGCAAAGGAGGGCTGGGAGACAGTGTTTCCAGCTGCTGGCCTCCCAGGAGCTGGGGCTCGCAGGGGGCCAGGAGCACAGGGGGATTCCCAATGAGTGCAGACAGACACAGACAGGATGGGGGCCAAGACTCCGACGGGGGCTCAGCTGGGTATGTCCCACCAGCAACGAGACCCATCTGCCATGCTGACCCAGCAGAGCTCAGCACAGACAGAGAAATCCACAGGCCTACGGGGTTGCGTAGGGCTAGCTCCCGAACGACCAGCTACACAGCCAGTGCACTGCAAATGGGGGCTCCCACTGCCCCCCTTCAGCTCCAACAGCTGACTCTGTCAGGTTTGATCCTGAACCTGCCACTAAGAGCAGATTCCTCAGGAAGCAATTTCACATCCCTGTGCCTCCACCTCCTCGCCTGTGAAACAGCAATAATGACAGGGCCTCTCCGGTTGAAGCCCTGGGCAGAGCCCGGCACAGCTGTGGTTGGTGCTGAGTGAATGCCGCCACCACGACTGTCACTGTTTTCTGTCAACACCATTGTGGCCAGCAGCACAGTCCCCATCACACCAGGTGAGGCCTGAATTCCGACAGGGCTCTGATCTCTTTGGGCTCCCAATGTCCCCCGGCGAGATGCCCAGTGAACATTGGCAAGATGGCCTAAGCCTTCTCCCAAAACTAGGGGGACCTGGGAAAGTGGGGCAAGTCCAACTTGCCCAACTCAAGAAATAAATACACTGTCATACTGGGGGAGAAGGGGCTCCCTTCCTGGGGCTGAGGCCTCATCCTGAGGCTTCCACATTTCACCTGCTGGCAATGACCAGTCATCCATCTCCCTGGGACTGCCCAGGGGGACAAAGGGGCTGTCTCTGGGATGGAGAGAAAGGGCTGTGCTGTTACCCAGAGGCCCACGTGGAGAGGCGGGTTGGAAGAAAGGAGCAGACAAATGACCCCAGGCAGGCTGCAAGGGTGACCCCGGGAAAGCTGTGAGGAAATGGGGTGCACAGAGGGACACATATGCAACACGGCCTGGGACTGCCGAGGACTCAAGCTGCCAAGATGGGCTGAGTCAGACAGAGGATGGGACAGCAGAGCTGTCACTTGGGTGCCTTCTGTGCCGCAGGCAGAGGGTGACTGCTCCCCAGGCCATGGTGAAACACACTCCATGCCCTCGCCCACCTGGAGTGCTGGCTGCACAGAGCAGAGGGTCTCTGCTTGTCTTGCCACCCAGCTGCTCACAATATCGGCCCACAGGACACCCCACTGCTCGAGCCCACCCATCCATCCCCCTGTAGACACCAAACCAGAAATGCCTGCTCTCACCCATGCTAGTCAGAACCCACCCTCCTCCCTGAGAGATTTATCAGCAGGATCATGGGTTTTATAAAACCAGGGAGAGATAAGCTTGGGCTCGATCCAGTAACTGTACCTCGAACTAACAAGAGGGGCTGCAGGGGCTGTATCTGCCTTTTATTTTGCTGTTGGGGGGCAGAGAGAAGAGTTATAGCCCCCAAATCAGCACTTGGGCTGAACCATTTACTCCACATTTATGAACAGGACAGATCTGCCTGGCACTGAAGCCCTTGCAAATCTCCATCCCTGGCAGGGTCCAGGCCTCACGAGCACTTTCAGCAGTCCAGGTTGACCAGAGGGCAGGGAGAACCCTAAACACACCTGTCTCCCAAGGAGACGGGCCTCCCGCCTGGCTTGCTTCTGTCCTCCTGCAAGAGGCAGAGCAGAGGCATCCTTGGGAGCCCTGGCCCGAGACACCAGCTTGGGCAGAGGGTACAATCTCACCAGAGAAGCCCCATCTCTTAGCACTGCAGACACCACGGCTAATTCAGGACAACTCAGATAAGAAGAAACAAACATTTGTCCTCTGCATAAAACATTCCAGGGCTCTCCAGTGCCCTGGCCTGGCCTCTATTCCAAGTCACAAAATCCTAACTCTTCCCCAGTCCCACCACACTCTAAACCAGAGGTCTTATACCGGGCGCAGAAGACAGATTTCAAGAGCAAATAAGAGTTGTTTGGCTTATACATTGCTTTATTGTTGTTTTTCATGTGACATAAAAATTTTTTAATGAGGCAATTTCACATAAAACCTGATTTCCAGCTCATCATCAAAAATCGTATCTGACACACAAAAAAAATCATATCTGACAACATATGGCCACTTGGCCAAGAGTCAGCAGCAGCTGCTACACAGCACAAGAGCTCCAGTTAGCCACAGGCCTCACCACTCTATACTATCTCCCATGGACAGCAAAGTCAAGTGAGCTGTCCCTAATAATCACATTTACACTTGTGTTTTCAATAGAGTAGATAAATCTCTATTTACTCATCAAATGTGAGCAAAAGAAAGAGGGTCCCATAATTTTTCTCCTTCCCTTCCTTCACTTAAGACCCTGAAAGGTACTGAGACCCCTGTTCCAAGGACTCTAAGGACACCGTGCTCTTGTCTCACATCCCCCACGCCTTTGTACTTGCTGCTCCCTCTGCCAGGGATACCTTCACCTCCGTCCTTGTCCCCCCAACGGGCTGCTCCTCAGCCTCACCTTCGGGGCCTCTTATTCTATGAAGCCTCTCAGACAGACCACCCATGTGCTGTTTGGAACCTCCTGTGTACACCTGGAGTCTATGCACCCAGTACGGAGCCCCCTGGGTCCAGCACACAAGTGTCCAATGGACAAAGGAGTCAATAAGCAAGGCGTTACCACCACAAAGTGAAAGGCATGGCAGCCAGGACCCTACATGCAGAGCCTGACACCCCACACCCCCCAGGAGTCATCCAGGAATAACCCCCACAAATGACATCAACACACACACTCTGTTTCACTCCCGGCCCCCATGCAAATGTGCTCTCAAGCACAGGGTGAGTCTTTCCCCAGCTGACTCAGAACCCCTTCCTCTCTAAAGCCCTCAGCCCAGCCACCAGAAACGGACTCATAAGCCCACCCAGTGCGCCCCACAAAGACAGTATTGACAGGAGCACTGGGAAGACTAGCCAAGAGAACCAGGCACAGTAGATAGACACAATGCTTTAAAAATAAAGCTAAAGGTCTGTAACACTCCCTCTATTTTGCCACAGTACCCATCATGCCCCACTGCCTCTCATGCCTCAGCATATTTATGTTCCTTGCCTGGCATTTATTTAAGTTTTTGCCTCTCAATCTGGAACATTCCTGAATGTACTTCAATATCTAAAATACCACAGTTAGGTCTTTAGAACTAAATGGCTCCAAGGCAGTAAGCCTTGGTTTTATACATCTGTTACATGGGTGAGCAGGCTGGCCAACTATGGCAACACAGAACTTGAGGAAAACCCTATCCACAAACCAAATGCAGCCACATTCAATGATGCATGTCAATGAGAAACAATGCTCAGTCCCAGTCATAACGGCCTGATGGCCAGAATACAGCAAGGGGATGTTTATTCCCCCGTCAACAGATCTGCTTCCCTCGTCATATGTGGTTTAGCCAGCAGAAGAGTAGATCCGTACTCCTGAAACACAGTTCCCAGAAAGCAAGGAGGGAGACACAGATGTGAGTGGGAAGCCACAAGGACCAACCCATCGCAGGCTGCAAGACTCCACCTCAAAGTGGCTGTTTCACAGTGGACACGGGGACCCACTGCCCTCAGGGTCCTGCCCTCAGCAGCCAGGAGATGGACAGCAAGTGGCCTGGGGGGGACTGGAGGGTGCTGGTGTCAGGCACCCAGCTCACGCTGCTCCTGGCCATCACTCTCCCTGGCCAGGAGCCCTGGGAGGATAGGCCTCAAACCTGCTCCAGTCCAGAGTCTAACAGCACTGCCCCAAAGTCTTCTGCAGTGTCCAGCCAGCAGCCCTCCTTTTGTAGCCACACCCACCTCCTCCTATCAGGTGCCCCCAGCACTGCTCTGAGGCGACTCTCATCTCATCAGCCTGGATGTGAGACAAATCTGGCCTTTCCCTCTGCCTCCCAAACACCCAGCACTCATGAGCGCCCTTTAAAATGCGCAACACTGACCCTCATCATCTTTACCATCATTTACTGAGAACTTTTTTAAAACCAACTCTAACTCAGGGGTCAACAAACTTTTATTATAAAGGACCAGAGAGTAAATATTTCAGGCTTTGCAGTTCCTGTCACAGCTGCTCCATTGTACAGTTGTAACAGAAAAGCTGCCACAGTAATATGTAAATGAATGGGTGTGGCTGTGTCAATAAAACTTTATTCACAAAAACAGGGGTGGGCCAGAGAGCCATAGTTTGCTAAGCCTTGCTCTAACTGAAATAGCCCTTCAGTCTCATAGTCTCATCCTAAGCAGTGATGTCTGAAACACTGTAGGTCGAAGTACAGGCTATTTTTTTTCTTTCAAATATTCATTAACATTAACACAAACTATACTGAAATTTTTTCAATGTTAAGTTTGTGACTAACCTGAGGCATCCCGGGAACCCAGTTTTGTTCTGGGAATGTGAACCTTTTCACCACAGGGACCACAGGTCACTGGGCCAGCTCTAGAATATTCCAGGTTGAGAACTGAAGTAACCATTTCTCTCAGCTCTCTCCTCTGTTACTGGGGTAGGCCAAATGTCCCCAGAGAGGGTCTCCCCGCCACAGAGGAGGGGGCCCAAGCTGAGGGAGCCCACTGCTGAGCAACACATGCAGTCACACTGGGAACCCCCACAAATGACATCAACAGACACACTCTGTTTCACTCCCGGCCCCCATGCAACAGCTGCTGAGCACACTGGGAACGGTCCCAAAGGCCAACCACCTACTACCACCTCTCACCTGGCTCTTGCCACGGCGCCGATAGCTCCGTCTCACCAGACTCTTGTAGTTCTCATTCTTCTTGGTCAGGTAGTAGTAAAGGACACACTCAGCCACCGTCTGCAGGTCGGACAGAGGAAAGAACAAAGCCATGTGCAGTGTGGGCAGTCAGAGCAGATGCCAGAAGCCAGACACCCTGGGCTCAAATCCTGCCTCCCCCAAGTACTGGCGGGGTGCCTTTGGCCAGGTTACCTACCCTCTGGGTCTCATCTTCTTACCTGTGCAATGGGAGTGCTGACAGCACATACTTCCAAATTGTTATGAAGACCAAGTTAAGTTAATTGTATACTCAGGATGGTACCCGACACAGAGCACACACCTATAGAAGTGTCACTCATTTTTTTTTTAATGTATGTCATCCTTTAAGGTTACCCTTTTTTCTTTTACTAAGGTATCATTGATATACAAGTTTCACATGAGCAACATTGTGGTTACTACATTCACCCATATTATCAAGTCCCCCCCAAACATTCCATTGTAGTCACTGTCCATTAGCATAGTAAGATGCAACAGAGTCACTACTTGTCTTCTCTGTGCTATACTGACTTTCCTGTGTCACTCATTCTTAATCGTTGCTGTTTCTATTGGTAATTGTAACATGAAGCTGTCACCTGCCAGCCTAGCCCCAGGAGAACAGGGCTGCCAGCTCCCATGGGCAAACTCGACATCATCTCCAACCCAGGTCTGGGATCTCCCTTCCCTCACTTTAGCTCCCTCTTCTCTGATATTTGGGGCCCTGATGTCCTCTTCCAAGTCTGGCACATCCAGCCTGACTAACGCCCTCATGCAACTCTTCCTCTCCTTGAACGCTACATCCTTACTCTGCCCTGCTCTTCCATGTGGACCTGGGCTGAATTCCGGTGCTGCCACTTGCTGAGGAAGTGACTGGCCATCTGTGTACCCCTCCACTTCCCAGTCCAAACAGGACCAGCAGGGCATCTTCTGTGGACTATCAACATGATCTCTGCCACCTGCAGCCATGGGGCCCGGCTCCAGGTGACAGCTCGCTAGTGCCACATTAAATGTTTGATGTGATGTAAAAGGTTTCTGTGATGCTTAGAGCTGGTGCCAAGCCAGGAACTCCCCTCTGAGGGGCATTCCATGAGGGCTTTTGGGTGCAGAGGAAGGCTGAGCCTCAATCCATGTTCTTATCCACCTCCTGGAATGCACAGTGAAGAGAGGCTGCTCCCAGGCTAACCCTGGCCCACAAACGTGGCCCGAACAGCAGTAGAGGACATCTTATAATCAGATGCCAATATTCGCAGATTGGGTGACGTGGGTATCCGACTTCCTCTGGAACAGTTCAGGAGAGTGCCTTCCCACGCTGGGTGACCATGGGCTGGCCCTGAGTGGAAGCTGCTCCTGCACACGGGCACGGGCTGGCCGGTCCACTGAACTCTACCCTGACCCTGGCCTCACTCACCATCAGGACATGCCTCTCCCCAAACGCATGGGGCACAGTTGGAACCCCTGCTTCAGATCCTTCTGGAAGATCCCCTTAAGTTTCATCTTGGGCTGCCCCCATCTCACCCTCAACCTCACATTAGAGCCGGCCTCTAACTCTAACCATAACCCTATCCTCCCCATAGCACCACAAAGTTTACTGTCCAGGGTAGGGACCTCTGAGCCCCTCATTCCCCTTCCACACTGCTCAGTGACTGATTTCTGAAACCCTTGCTTCCACCTCTGGGCAGTCCTGACCTACAGCCTCCTGGGCTGTCCACACCCCTAGCAAGAAGCCACCACTAACTCGGAGGAAGGCTATTTATAGGGCTTGCTTCTCCACACTGGTTTTTCAGGCATGGAGAGATTTCGTTTCCCCACACTGCCCCATCTCCTCCTGCTATGGTTATCAGCTCATTAAGGACAGACGCTGGGAACAACTGTTACCCTCTAAAATAACCTGCCTGGCTCCTACTACGACTGCCTTCCCACATCCCATAGTTAGGAAGTGTGAGGCCTCCAGCAGCAGGGCATTAGCAAAGCCAGCAGCGGGCAGACACTGCATCTCTGAGAGACATGATTTAGGGGGACACTGGGAACACCCTGAACGGCAGCCCAAGAGGGGAAAGCCTCACTAGATGCCCTTCCCACTCCTCTCTCGTATGCTGGGGTTCCCACAGCCAACTGACACAGGGCCCACCCAGACCCCCTGTGCCAGCTACCCCACCTGTGGCCACTCTGGGCATTGCCCGGCCCAGTCTCATGGGTGCACAAAGGGGGCTTCGCCATTCTCCAGGGATGCTTTTTGTCTACCTGCCATGTGTGGAAACGGGCACCACCTCAGGCTGGGTTTATGGACCAGGTGGGCTTCCAGCACCAGTTCCACATGAAGGGTTGCCCAGAGGGAATGGGGACTTGTCAGCCACGTGCCTGGCTTGGCATCAGGAGTGTCAGAAAGCATACTGTGACCATTAGAGGAACATATAAAGGTTGTTCCATCCAGGCCTCTGGGACAGCACCACTCTTGCCTATAAAGCCTTCATCGGGACACAGGGGGAACATGGCCTCCAGAACCTATGTCCAGCCGTGGGGACACTGGCTGCAAGGCTGGGAGCTGGCTCCAGGGAAGCCTTGTGCAGCTCTCCTGGGGTTTCCTAGCCTGGAGCTCCGCCCCCTCGGGCCGGGAGGCTGGGGCGGGGCCTGGGGCTGCTTCTCCCAGAAGAGGAAGGGAGGAAGGAGGGAAGGACTGACAGACAGAGAAAGGGGCAAGCAGGCTGAGGCCTCTTTGGCAGAGGGAGGGTCCTTGGCTCTGAACCCAGCGGCTGCCCGAGGAGAGCGCACCGGAGGGGCGCGGGGGTGACCGCGGGGCTGTAGGGCTGGTGGTAGAACTCACCTTCCTCTCCAGGAATGATGCGATCAGGCCAAAGTTCTTGGGGTGCTGCATGAACCTGCGGGAAGAGCAGGGCGAGCGTGAGACCAGGCCGAGGGGGGCTTCCCAGCTGGGCGGCCGCCGCACTCCCGGGTGCCTGCCATCTCTGCTGGCCCAGCTGGGCGGCACCGCCCCACTCGGAGCAATTAAGCCCAGGGGGGTGTGGGAAGGGCGGGCGGACCGAGGGGTAGGAGAGGGCGTTCCTTGGAGTGAGTCACTGGTTTTAGCGCCTTTGAAAATATATTTGTTTGTCCTGCTGGAGGCGGCTTCCAGGAAAAATGAGGACATTACATCCAGCTCTTTGGTGGGGTTCCCCCCCCTTTAAAATCTGCTTTTGTTTCTATCTCCGGCCTGGTCTGGGAAGTTGGGCCTCGCCTGGCCCACGCGGGGCCCTGACCAATGAGGTCACAGGTCAGGCCACGAGGCTGTTGGCCTCCCCAGGAGAAGTGGGAGCAGAGGCTCTAGTGCCCGTGGCAAGAAATGACTTCAGCTGGAGGGGGTGGCAGGGAGCTGGCGCCCCACCAATTGGCTTCCTGTGAAGCAGGGAGAATTACTGGGAAAGGCTCGGCAAGGCTGAAATGTCAGGGCCACAGGAGCAGGCGGCTGGGGCGGAGATGTGGGTCATGGCTGCTTGGGCCCCAGGGATGCTGGGCGGAGCCACTGGCCAGGGCCCAGCCTCAGCATGGCCGTCCCTGTGACGCGCCACCACCCTGTGGCCTCCCTCTGGGAGAGAGGGAGCTGCTGGCGGTGTGGGGGCCCGGGTCCCCTGAGGGAGCCTGGGCCAGCGCGGTGCTCTCCTGCCTGGCCTCCAGATGGCTGGGCAGGCGGCCAGGGGGCCCCTCCCCTGTTCCTCAGCCAGACACCAGAGAATCCGGAATGGCCTCTTCTCTCTTCCAGGAGGAAGCTGAGAGTCAGTGACAGCCTTCCCGCCTGGGATCCTACCACAGGCAGCCTGCAAAGCTGGAGGCGGCCTAACGCCCTCTGTTCCAGTCAGACAGTCCTTCCCTCCCCTCCCTCTCCCTGCCCCAGTGACATTTCCTTCCCCCCAGATCCCTTCCTCGGGGTTTCCCCAAACAGACAGGGGCCCCAGGAGACCATGAATCAATTGGGAATCCTGTAAGTCACCTCTTCTACCATCCCCCACTCTCTACCTGCAGCCTCTGCCAACATTCACTGAGAATTTACTATGCGCTGGGCACCTACTACCTCTAAACAAGGGAGGCACTGTTACTATACTCATTTTACAGACATGGAAACTGAGGCTCAGAGAGGGGAAGTAGCTGTCCAAGGGCACAAAACCAGTAGGTGCTGGAGCTCTACGCCCCCAGCACATGATTTTCAAAGGCCTTGGATGCTATCAATTGCGCTGAAAATGACACCCCAACCAGGACCACACTCCTTGAAAGACACACGTGGCCAAACTGAGTCTCAGCAGACCCCAGCCCAGCGTGGGGCCCCCACTCTTCAGCTACTGTGAAATCATTAGGTCAGAATACTACGATGAAATCTCCAGAAAGGCTGAAACTCAGAAAGCAGCCCAGAAACACCTCATTTTCCTTTTTTTAAAGAAAGCATCAATGAATAAAAATACCAAACATGCCAAGGGGAATTTAAATAGCTAACACAACAGTAACAGCACCCGTGACTGCTCTACATCACTTCCCTGGTTTAAAATTGTGCAATACTTGTAGACTTGATTCGAAGGTGGAACAATCACATGTGTGATTGGGAGGACCCAGAACGAGGTGACTTGGTTCACAGTCTCTAAGCGGGAAACCCCAACACCCCTAGGAGGCACTCTCTGAGGCGCTATGCCCTGGGGAGACTGCTGAGCCTGTAGGAGGCACGCAGAGCTCATTAGGCCTTCCCTCCATTTTTACCTATGCTTTCGAATTTCCATAACCAACAGCTACTGGAAAAAATGTTATTTGCCACCCAAGACCCTCTTCAACTACATCTCCTGCATTTCCAAGACCTAAGGTCTGCTGGGTAATCCACCCCAGCCTTGCATATGACCCAGAATTATCCCCGTCCCTGAGGCCTGCTGCTACTCTGGGGCCGCAGGACCCTGCAAAGGGCAGAGACGGCCCCAGGCCAGGGCCCACAGCCAGTGGCTGGAGAAGGAGGGTCATTTCTTTCGAAGACACTCTCCTGGCAAGGCCTTCTCTGGGGGTGGAAATGGAGGTCCAGTGGCCAAGCACGCAGATCTGTTTTCTGAGCCCTGTGGCTTCTGCCTGTGCCTCAGTTTCCTACCCTCTCACCTCAAGAGGCTCCTGGATTCTGAGGAGGGGCTCTGAGCCCAGTATGTGGTTCCCTGAGACACAACTTTTGAGGTTAGTTGAGGGAAGGAGGGCTTTCTCCATCTGGCTACTCCCCACTTGTCTCCCCAAAATGGTCAAGTCATTCTGCTCTTTTATTTTCAAAGCCCCGAGCTTCACTTCTGGGAATCCCACTCTTGCCTCTACTTTCCAAAGCCACCCCCAGCTTCCTGGCTCCATCCATCCTCCCCCAGAAACCCCTGTGAGGGGCAGCTAAGCCCTTGCTCCAAAAGCTGGGGGAGTTGGAATCCTGTCTCCATTTGCTGGCTGTGTAGCCTTTGTTACGTGTCTTAACCTCTCTGAGCCTTTGCTTCCTCACCTGTGTAATGGGGATAGCCTGGAAATACTGTTATGAGGGAGAAAAGGGACAAATGCACAAAACCCACAAAACATTGGCACAACTTATGGGATGGAGGCCATGCTCACCAAATAGCTACTTCCAAGTGGAATGAGAACCAAAAAGCTACTGGCCAGCCACCTATCAATGCCCAGGGCTTTGGCCCGGCTGCTGGGAGCCTGGCCATGTTCTTCCCCTCTCCCTTTCCCATTTGGCTGGCTTTCCACTTGGTACTGGGGTGAACAGTGTTCTCCTCGGAATGTGACCTTGGAATGTGACCGTATTTGGACATGAGTTATTGTGGATGCCAAAGGTTAAAAGGAGGTCATCCTGGAGTAGAGTGGGCCCTGAATCCAATGTGGCCGGTTTCTTTACAGAATGAGAAGACAAGAGGTGGAGATGGCGTGACCCCTCTACAAGCCAAGGAGTGACATGGATTGCTGATAACCAACCAATGCTGGGAGAGGCACAGAGAGGACTTCCCTCAGCATGTCCAGGAACCAGCCCTGCCCACACCTCGATCTTGGGCTTCTGGCCTCCAGAACCGAGTGAGAATAAATTCCTGTTGTTGTAAGCCGCCTGGTACAGGGGCATTTGTCACGGCAGCCCTGGAAAGCTCTCACCCAACGGGTTTCTGGTGGGGGGTTGCCCTCGAGGCCCATGCCCTGGCAACAGGACACTCACTTCTCCCGGAAGGTCTCCTTCTCCTGTTCACTCCACATGTTCATGACCTGGCGGTCTTTGTACACCTTCATGGGGTCGTCCATGAGCCCATTCATGTTGATGAACTTAATACGTTGCTGGTCGGCATCATACAGCATTGGTGGGATCACAGCCAACTGGCGCATCTGCTTCTCTAGGTTCTGCAGGGAAACCGAGGGTAGAGGCCGGGGTCAGAGTGTGAGTGAGATGGGGCCAGGGCTGGGGGTAGAGGGGCAGGAAGTGCTCCCACCAGCACTGCAGCCCAGGTGAGGCACAGAGGGCACAGGCGTTCTGAACAAGATGGAGACAATGCAAAACCAGACAGAAAGAGAATAATGAGTTAAAGAACAGTAATAGTCCATGCTAGGGGAGGGAGAATTTAAAGGCAGCCCCAGACAGGTTTATGGTGGGCACAGCTGTAAACCGAAGGCCGAGAGCAACAGTCGCCTTATCTGCAGTAAGGGGAGCAATGAATCTTCCCTTTGGAAATGCAAGCACCATAAAACACTGCAGGAAAGATGCTCAGCCCAGCTGGGCCAGACTAGCTCTGGAGACAAGGTCTGGCCATCCAGGTTCAGAAGGTGTGTGGGGCAGGGAGGAGGACTGCCTCGCTCCAGCAGTGCCTGGTGAGACTGCAGAACCATTCCCTCCCAGCCATGAACCCCCAGCCCTGGCATCCTGCTCTTCCGGCGTGCCCGCTTGGGATCAAGCCTGCCCAGCCCCATGCAAGGAAGGAGTCAGGCGACTGGCTCATAATGCACCAGGATGGCTATTAAGAGGCTCTGAGCCACCGCTTAGCTGGGCTCATTTCCCCAAATCTCTGCAAGCCAGCCCATTACTGGCAATTAATTATGCATCCAGAGGTGGGTAAGGGCCTAGCCTGATCAAGGTCAGCTAGTTCAAAGGATCCTCCCCCACTCTCTCCCACATCCAACCTCTCTCTTCTATGTTTAGGACTCCCAACAAGACCAGGGGGCGAAGCAGGGGGCACAGCCCTAACCCCCGGCTGGGCGAAGGGCCCCACCGAGGCCCGAGTCTCCGCAGCACTAGGGGCAGCACTCCACTGTCCCTGTCGCTGCTGTCTGCCCAGCATACGTGGGGATGGCAGACCACAGGCAAGAGACTCCTTCCGGCAGGATCCCACTCTGCCCTCCATATGCTGCCTTGCAGTTCTTCCACACTGGGCATGTGCTCTGACTGCTGAAAGCTCCCTGATGGAGGGGCAGCATCTTTTCTCCCAACCTCCCAGGGAGGCAGGGGGCCTGGGCTGGAAATTTCTGCCCTAAATTCCCTGTCAACCAGGAACACAGCCTCTACCCGCTGAATGCAGCCCCCTCAACATCCTGAGGATGCTAGCAGCTACCTTCCCATGTGGCCTGGACTTGAGGAAGTGGGCCTCTGGGATGAGGTTGGCGGGGGGGGGGCAGGGAGGGGGACAATGAATCAACTGAGATGCCATGTGCCCTTGACCATCAGGCAGGAAACCCAGGGAAAGGGCTGCCCTCCCCTCGCATCCAAGGCAAACTAAACCACGGCACTACAGGACGTGCATATTTGGGGGGACCGACTGGAGAGATCGCAGGTGTGGTTGTGGGCAAAGGCTTTCCGAGTTCTGCTCTCTGGGGACTGAATGGTGTTCAAAACAGGGAGATAACACTGAAGTTTTTAAATGAAGGCTCTTTTGGAACAGCCAGATAGTCTGAATTACCTGTGTCAGAATCATAAGGTTGGCCTGAAAAATGCAGATTGCTGGGCTCTACCCCCAATCAGCTAAATCAGAAGCTCTGGGGGTGTGGCCTAGGAAACTACAATGTACCCCCTCCCCTGGACTCTTCAGCCTGTCCAATCTGAGAAGCAGTGGCCTGGAGTGGCACTGTCCAATAAAAGGCTGTGTAACGATGGAGGCATCACTGCCTGCTCTGTCCAGGGTGGGAGCCTCAACCGTGCCCGGCTATAGAGCAAAGTGTGGCTGGGGGGACAGAGGAACTGCACTGTTCACTTTAGTTCATCTCACTTTAAAGAGCCACGTGTTCCTAGTGGCCAGAGCACGAGGCTGGGGTCACTGCAACATGCCCCATCTGGTGCTAAGACTCCCGGGAGGGAGGATGTGTCCCCTATTTAAGCAAGGCTCCCTCATGTCTACTGTGCTGCTGGGAACAGGGGCTGGGGGATGGGCACAGAGCTGTTTGAACTACAAGACCTGGGAAGGAACAGGCTGGCACAACCCTCCCAGGGGCAAATGCTTCCTGGCCACCTCTGGGTCCCATTGACCAATGCCAGGGCCATCCAGGCAGAACTCCAGTTGTCCAGGCCTTCCTGGGAGGCCCCAGGGAAGAAAGACCATGCTGGAGCTGGCAGGATGGGAGGTCCTGCCAGAAGGCCCCAGGCTGGAGGACAGCAGTGTGCAGAAAGTTCTCTGTCTGCCCCCGGGTGGGGTACCAGGATGCTGCTCGAGACCACAGCTCTCAGGCACCCCTGCCCTGAGGCTTCTGGTTGGCCTCAGCCAGTGGGCAAGGGGTCTGCAGGAAGCAGGGGTGGGGAGGAGGTGGAGGTACTTGCCCCAACTTCCTCCCTGCTGTGGGGGTCAGAGTGGGGCCTTGCTGTGACCCTCCCGGCCTCCTCCTGCCAGAGGGCCCTCCTCCACGCCCTTCTCTCTTGTACTTCAGGCCTGGGGACAATGGCTACTCCCCGGTGCTTCAGGGCCCTTCAATGCTTCTGCCCACACTTCGGTGACAAGCCCATTGATGCCAACCATGCAGGATAAATTGTTTCCTGTTGGGACCCTCCCCATGGGCAGGGGACATGGGAGAGTGGAGCTGAGGCCAGAGTCAATGCTGTGGACTTACCTCCTGCTCTGAGAGGCCGTCAATGATCTCGGACACCTCGTGTTCACTGCGGGCTGCCGACATGGAGAGCCCACTGCTCCGCTGACCCACCCTGCTGGAGACCAAAAGGACATACTCAGGGCCTCCCTTTGGTAGCCAGGGACGTGCGGCCAGCACCGTGGCACAGACCCAAGACCACAACTTCCCCAGAGTGTGGGTGGCAGGGGTGTGGGGTGTAGAGGGGCCTGGCCTCCCACACCCACAAGACTGGCCAGGCTGAGAGGTCCAGGGGACGGCACAGAGCCCCAACCCTGACCTGGGTGTGCCAGAACCTGAGACTGCAGGGGTTCCCAGTGCTGGGCAAAGGCCTTCGTTGAGAAACGGACCATGAGGGCCCAGGAGAGAGTAAAACCTGTGTCACCACTGCTCAGGACCCATCACTTTGTCTGAGTAACAAAAAAAAAAAGCTAGTGTCACCTAGCACCTACTGTATGCTGAGCATGCCTGCAGTCTCACACAATCCTCATGGCTACCATGTGTGACCTGTGCCCTGACACAGCTGCCAAGCCAGGCAGTCCTCTCCCCTTACAGTCCACACCAGGGATCACCACTCCCTCCAGGGACCACGCAGGCCACATAAATGGCCGAAGCAGTAGGTATACGCCACGGTACACCACACGCAGAGCTTGCTGCACCGAAATGTATCTTACGTTTCAGGTAAGTGCTAAGGCCAAGCAGGCTCTGAGTGACACTTCTAAGGGCCTGATGAGCCCCCAGGGGTTTTGAGACCCCGTGGTGCTTTCTGACCAAGGTCCTTGACGGACAGGAAGGAGCGGGGCCGGGGGCAGGGGACAATGAGGCGAGGCTCGGGCCCCAGGCTCACCTCTGCATGCGCTCCTGCAGCTCCCGCTGCTTGCGGATCTCAGGGAACTGCTTCTCGTAGTACTCCCGCACCTTGCTCTCCTTGGCCCGCCGCCGGGGGTTGTTCTCGATGCGCTCCACCTTCTTCTCCCAGGCCTCCATGAGCTGGTCATAGCGCTGGCAGAACTTCTGTTCCTGGGGGAGCACAGCAGGAGACTGCTGCAGCGGCTCCCCCTACCTCTGGACACACAGCCTCCCCGCTGCCGCTCTGCAGGCAGACGGACGCAGGCCGACATGCACAGGCGAGCACGGTGGCACAGCACGCACAGCAGACACACACGATCACACAGAGACCTGAGTGCACCTGGGCCCCTGAGGGAAATCAACAGCTTCCCTAAGGGCCTGGTCACCTCCCTCCCTGGGGAATAGGCCACCCCAGCCTGGCCTCCTTCTAGAAAGGCCTCTTCCACAAAAGCCACCAGCCACAAGTGGCTGTTAAGTTCAAATCACATAAAATTAAGTAACATTTAAAAGTCAGATCCCTAGTCCCCAGCCACATTTTTAGTTCTCAGGAGGGACACTGTCCATTGTGGACAGCACACACAGAGGCCATTTCTGTCCTCACAGGAAGCTGTTGGACAGAGTGGCTCTGGGGCATCTGCCAGTCCCAGGGAGGCCCCCCTGGAAAGCAACCTCTTTCTGAACATCCCTCATTCCCTGGCCTCAGCCTCAGCCATGTCCCCTGACCCAGGGACTCCCAGGGGCCATTTCTGGGGAAGTAACCTCTGCCCTGAGTGCAAGTGAAGTGGAAGTCCCTCTCCACGTCTAACCACAGCAACACCTTCTGTGTGTCCTTGGATAAGAGACCCTCCACACACACCTGGCCCGGAACATAGCTGCCTGGCTTCCACATCTCCAAGGTGACCTGGACGTCAAGCGAGCAGGGAAGGTGTGGCCCATGAGACCTGGACCTCCCTGTCTCTAACCGCTGTGGAGGACAGATGTCACAGTCTGGGAACACCCTCTGGACACTTCATCAATATCAGAAAACCCCTCTCTGGTCCTCATGCCGAGATACGCTGCCCCATCCTGTATGCTAGCTTCTGACAAAGGCAACCTGTGACCTTGGTCTTCAACAAACCCAGCAAACACAATGGTACCCAAGGGGCAGTCACGCCAACTTTGAGAGGAAGCAGAACTTGATCCCCAGCTTCCGTGGGCCTCACACATATATGGGCTGCTCCGAAAACCTGCTGGAGATCAAGACATAGTTCCAATAGCAGACAACACCCACACGTGTTCATGGCAATGTGGCACAGACAGCTCCCCACTGGGGATGAGGACTGGCATGGAGGACTCTAGCCCATGCCACCATCAGAGGAGAGAGGCTGCTCTGCTTTGCACCCTTACCACCCCTCCCCTGCCGGAGAGGCCTCAGTCTGGTGGGCAAGAGCCAGAAATCGTGTCAGATGGGGAAAAGGTGAAAAACGCTCATTGAGAGCCAGAGAGGAAAACAATGCAGTTACAGATGACAATGAGCAAGGCTGAAACCTGCAGGGCTGCTGATGCGCTGCCCTGTGGAAGGGCAGGCGGGGGGCCAACCACACAGCCCAGCCCATCTGGGGTCCTCCGTGGAACTGCAGGTGGTACTGCAGGTGGAACAAGGGAAATGGGCAGGAGTGTCTTTAAGGGGACATCCAGCCAACTGGCCAACCCAAATCACTGAGCCCAAAGACCCCAGCAGCTCCCAAGGACTGTCCCAGATGAGGAAGTCCCCCTCCATGTCTAAACACAGTGCCACCTCCTGTCAACTGTGCCTGTGTCCAGTGCACAGTGTGCCCTACTGGGCTTCATGGGACAAAGCACTGCAGGTGGCCACAGTCCTTCCCTGGAACCACAGTACTCTGCTTGTTGGGATTTCCATGAGTGTGGGCCCGATGCCCAGAGGAAGCAGCAGATCTCACACTCACACACACCCTCATGCTCATACGTTGTCATACACTCACACAATCTGACCCTACACTCTTACACTTGAGAGGCTGGAGCAGAGTTAAGCCAGACTGCAGGGTAAGAGAAGCAAGCTTCTGCAGTGGAAAAGGAGCAGGTTCGTGGTGCCCCTGCATCCACAGCCTGTGTGTGTCACAAGGACGAATCACCCCTGGCCTCCTACCTGCCCTCACCCAAAATTCGCCATCTTCACCATCACCCTCATCTTCACTAACATCACTATCTTCACACCACCACCTTCACCATCATCACTACATCACCACTGACACCAGCTAAGCACTGCTATCACATGCCAGAGCTGAGTCCTTCCCAAGGAGTGACTCACCCAAACCCCAAACAGGCCATGGCTAACATCCCCTTTGTGCAGGTGGGAACTCAGAGCTGGGGATTGTCAGTCCCACACCCGGGACTGCAGTTAGGGGGCAGTAGGTCAGGATCCTGAGAGGGGCAGCTGGCAGTCATTCCGATGAAGTCCCACCCAGCCAGTTTTCCTTTTGTTGCTTGTGCTTTTGTGTCACACCCAAGAACCCACTGCCAAATCCAAGATCATAAGAATTTACCCCTATGTTTTTTCCAGGGAATCTTAGGATTTTCACTCTTGCATTTAGTTTTTGATTCACTTCAAGTGACTACTTGTGTTAAGACTGTGAGGTGGGGGGTCAACTTCCCACTGTGTATGTGGATATCCAGTTGTCCCAACACCATTTGTTGGAGAGACCATCCTTCTCACCGAATGGACTGGGCCTCTTGTCAAAAACCAACTGGCCACAGATGTGAGGGGTTATTTCTGGGCTCTCTATTCTATCCACTGATCTCCGTGTCTATCCTAATGTCAGAACACACTATTTTGATTGCTGAAGCTTTGTGATACATTTTGAAATTGGGACGTGTGACTCTTCCAACTTGGTTGCTCTTTTTCAGGATGTTTTGGCTGTTAGGGGTCCTTTCCAACCCCACATGGATTTTAGGGTTAGCTTGCAGCTGGCAGTTTTGAGCACCCACTATATGTCAGGGATCAGCCTAAGCATATTGCATGTAGCCTCTCACTCAATGGCCTGATGGCTGTTAATATTATCTCCAGCAAACAGAAAAGGAAACTAAGGCTAGAAGCTAAGTAATTTGCCCTGGATACCCAGCAGGGCTAAGAATTGAACCTCTCCTGCCCTTCCAGGCATGGTGTAATGCAGTTATGCACTTAGGGAGGTGATGAGAGTTGGGGTGCCCAGTAAGTGGCCTGAAAACTGGGGGAGACAGCCTCTGGCCAAGGGACAGGGAGGAAGGAGGGTGGTGTTAGGGGAGGAGACCTGGAGCCAGCCTGGGAAAGCAGGCCTCTGGGCACCTGGTATGCCAGCATCCTCCTGACTGGCAGGGAACCCACAGCCTTTCGCAAAGGCCTTCTGCAAGCTCAGCAAGACAGGGCCACAGGGCCTAGAGGTGGTCCTCCTCTCCACCCGATCCCATTTCACAGAGGAGGAGAAGTGCAGCTCGGGGCAAGATAGCTCTCCCAAGATCACACACACCAGCGCATGGTGAGGTGGGGTTTGAAAATGTGCCCTTGTGATCCACAGCACAGCCTCACATACCCCCCCACCCCCCGGACCTGGCCTCCCAGAGGTGCGGAGCTCAGCTTCCCAGAGAAGGGCAAGGAAGGCCTGGGGGAGGTTCATGTGTCTGGGGGAACAGCTGTGGCCCTGGGAAACACTGGAACCCCTGCGGAGCAGCCCAGGGGGGGTGGGGGTGGGGCGGCTGATGGGGGCAGGGCCCACAGACCCAGGGCTGGGGGCCATCCAGGCCAGGCCCCTCTCAGGCCTTGCAGACAATGTTGCATCAGGGACTTGGCTTGTTATGTAAGAACAAGAACGGGATCATTCCACACTCCCCTCCTGGAAGCTTCAGTGGCTTCCTAGTGTGTTTTCATAAGGGCCTCTCTCAAAATGGTCCCAGCCTGGCCACATAGGCCCCCAGATTAGCAGTCTCCAGTTCATTACTGGGGGACCCCCAAGGAGCCATTTGAGATTTCTCAAGAACCTACCCCACCCCCACCACAGGGCTCCTTTCAAACTGTGCTCAGATATTCATTCTCCAGCCCTGCCCCAAATAGACCCCACTCCCCAGCGCCCCCACTGGGGACATGCCATGTGGCCATACAATGTGGCCAGGGCTGGAAGGTTCTGTGGAATGGCCATTAATTCATAGGTGTGATAATGAAAGAATTTCCTTCCTTTCAGGAGACAGGACAGTGGTATTAGGGTGAAGGGTCTGGTATCTGTGCCCACTTCCTAACATCCATACTTAATTTACACACAAGTGCACACACAACGAATACAAAGAAATGTTAACCATAGTAGATTCTAGATGGAAACACAGATGTTTTGTGCTTTCTTCTGTCAAACTTCTGTATGACTGAAAATTCTTATAATGAAAACCACATATTCTTTATTAAGAATACACTTAAAGAGCAAATTAAGTGTCCCACTGTGTTTAGAAAAATCTAAACATCCCATCCTAGTCAAGGGCAAATGTTTCTAAGAGATCTGGCCCCCACAGTCTTCAGACCAGCCACAACCCGGCACTTAGGCACGGCGCTTTACAACTGTCTGCTACCTTCTGCACAGCTTACTCCAGGCTGGATCCTGCTGTTCCTGCCTCAGGGCCTTTGCACTTGCTGTGCCTGGTGCTGGACACTCTGACCTCCACATCTGCACCCCTAGGCTACATGCTATCCCACACCACACCTCGTGACAGTCCTCCCTGCGGCTCCTTCACTCAGCTCGGCTCAGCACCGCACCAGACCCACAGAAGGTACTAGTAAATATATCTCAGTGAATAAGATGGGGCACCCAGTTTCATGAGCCCCATCCACGCTGCCCAGGTCCTCTGGTCACCATCGAGCCAATCTGGGGGTCTGGGGAGGTTGAGAAAGGAAAGCTTACCTCTCACCCCATGGGTCCCAGGGTCTGGAGTGTCTCCTGCCCAGCCTCTCAGTCACCTCTTTTTGAGGGCCCAGCTGAGTCTGGGACCAGAGCAGAGTGGGTTCAGAAGGACCCATGCCCTCAAGGGGTCAAATTGGAGCTTTGTGAGATGGTCTGAGAAAGGGTAGCTCTCTGGCTCAAGACTCAAACCTGCCACAGGAATTCAGCCCCACAGGGAAACCAGTTTATCAGTGCATTAACACACAGGGTTGGAAAATGTGTAGTAGAAACGTAGGTAAAACCTGATGGAATGACTCTTGAACTCGACCCAGTGGACTTTTTCAGCTTTCAACACAAATTCCTCTAATGTTGAAGCCCTTCTGAGCCAGCTCGTCTTCCAGTCACAGCTGTAAGAACACTAACGGGTAACCCCCTCCATCACGGGGCCCTAATCTCACCCCGTTAACCAGTGATGTGAACAGCCACCCGAAACCACAGGGCACGTGCTCCCTCACACACGCTCACCCTGCCTTGGGCCCGCCTTCCAGCTAAGACTCCGGAGTGCGCAGCAGGATGCAGGACTTGGCACCACTTTATTTTGAGGCAGCAGCTGCCTGCCCCGTGCAGGCAAAGAGGCCCCATTGCTTCTCGATGCCCTTACTTTCCTGAGCCTGGATGCAGGCACAGGGGGCCAGAAAAACATTTCCAGGGAGCTCCCTGTAATCGCCACCACCCAGCACACAGCTCACCCCAAATCTCCACCTCTTTCAACAAATCTCTCTTTCTGCCTAGAAGGTCCTCAAAGGGTCCTCTGATGAGGCACCAACTTTCCCGGCCAAACATATCAGTCCCTCATTCCAGGCTGGACAAGGTACAGCAGAATTCCAGGCCCCGGCCACACCCTGGTCTCCTTGGGCAGCAGAGTTCTGAGCCCCTGGGTCCGCCGACACAGCTGCTATGCTTCCCCATGCCTCTCTCTGCCTTGAGCTTTTCCTTCACAGCCAGGACACTCGGCAGAGAGACAGCTGCAGCACTGAGCAGTCCCAGTGGGTGCGGCTGGATTGGCTCTGGCTCTTAAGGAAGCCTAGGCTGCAGGGGCCCGCAGTTGCTGGGGCGGGGCTGCCGCGATGGCTTACCCATTGTTTCCGAGCGTGATTCCTCCTCTTGAAGTACAGGATTAACTTTTTCCGCATTGCCTGGTTTCTAAGCAGGAGGGAAACAGCAAATGGGGCAGGTCAGCAGGGGCAAGGGTTCAGGACTGTTTCCCGAGAGCAAGCCCTCAATGTGCCCCATTTTTGGTTCTCAGTGGGGTAAGACCCCCTGTGCCCCCCAGAGCAAAATGCCCATCCAAACTGTGCACCCTTCTTCTCCCCCGACCCACCTTTAGGCTGAGTGTGGCCCAGTGAAGGGGGTTCCCAGAGTGTTTGTGGCCTCCCCCTCTCCCTTGTGCTGCCATCACCCCACGCACACCCAGGATCCCCACCAGCCACACCTGCCAAGGGAAACGGACCACAGCAGAGCACCCCAGCCTTGGGCCAGACGGAGGCTGGGGAGACCAAGGCCCCATGACTGGCAGCCACACAAAGACAGGGTCTGGGGTCTGGCATCGGTGCCCCCACGCAGCTCCAACTTAGTGCCATGCCCTGGCCTTTAGGGCACCCTTTGTGCTCAGCAGTGGGGTGGCTTCGGAGGGGCAACAACGGGCTAATGGGAGCCAGCAAGGCAGCAGCCGTCAGGAAGCACCTGAGGGGCGTCGGGCCTCAGGCCTCGGGCCAGGGAAGCTGGGCCCTCCCAGCATCAGATCAGCCAAAAGGCGCTCACGTAGCACTGCAGTCTCAGAGGGCAGCGCACCCCTCCCAGGGAAGATGGGCGGTTCAAAGAGAGGCAGAGACAGATGGGATCAGAGAAGCGAACAGCGACTCGGGGCAGGGCACTCTAGAGAGACTGGGAGACCCCTACCAGGGCACAAGGCCTGCCCAGCTGCCCGGAGACCTGAGGCCCCTCCATGGCCCTCTCCCCACAGCCTGCCCCACAGAAGCACAGTGCACAGCCCATGTCCTGGGCCTGCAGGGGTCCCACAGGCCTCAGTGCGACCCTAAACTTGTTTGCCCCGATCCGGTGTACAGCGGCACCAACGTACCAGAGAGGGGCACCCCCTTCCTTGTGTTTGCAGCAGTGTCCAAAACCCACAAAAAGTTCACGAACTGTGGACAGGGACTTCTGCCCCATTCAACCCACAGGGGTCTCAGGGGCTACCCTGGACCTCAACCTCAGGACAAGGACCTGACCTGACAGGCAAAGCTCCCCCAGACATGCTCATGGGGCTGAAGGGCTGGAATTGACCCAATACATGGCCCCATGGGGAGTCACTCTGCCCCCACACCCTGGTGCACACACACCATTCAGAGGCCCCACTACCAGGCTGAGTCACGATGTGCCCCTGTGCCTGCCGCACCCACCCTGATTCCCAGGCCCTGTGCATTTCCGCAGGAGTCGGCATCCACACTAACTAGTCTCAAGTCCAGAAAGGCAAATGAACACGCATGTGCCCTCTCTGTTAGGAGGAAAAGGACACAGGGAACATATGGGCAGCGGTCCCCCTCCATAGCCCTTCGTGGATCCTGGTGGGGCTCAAAGCCCAGCCAACACCGCACCTCCCGACAAGGAACTGTCATGTCCACTTCCAGGAGGGTCCATAGGGAGAACCCTGACTCCCAGGGTCTTTCTGGCCTCCCCTCCCAGTCCAGGGGGCTTTAGGGGGTCCTCAGTCACATAGGCTGAGATCAGAAACATTCACTCCACAACAGAGGGTCTCTCAGCCTCAATTTCCTCATCTGAAAACTGGGTGCAATAGTATCATGCTTGATCTCAGTCATTCAACAAATGTTTACTGAGCACCTACTATGTGCCAGGTGTTGTTCCAGGCATGGAGGACACAGCAGAGAGCTAGACAATCAGAGTCTGCAGGTCAGCAAGACAGACAGTCAGCTAGATCATCAAGATAATTCTGGACTCGGGAACTTCAACAGGTGGTGGGGTGGTGACAGGTAGGAGGAGCCCTTCTAGTTTCAGTGGTGCAGGAAAGTCTCCCAGAGCTAGCCTTGTGCTGAGCTCTAGACCACCCAAAGGAGCCAGCTGTGGGAAGATGAGAGGGAAGGACACACCAGGCATGAGGTGCTGCAAGTGCAAGGGCCCTGAGGTGGGAACAAGCTCAGAGTACCTGAGGAGCAGAGGAGACCCCACACAGCTGGAGAGCACCAGGAGGGACAGGCGGGAGGGGAGGGGAGAAAAGAGAGGAGCAAGGTTGGCAGAGCCACTCTATGGGCCTTGTGAGTCTGGGCACAGTAAAGGGCTTGGACTTCATAAAAGACAGACAGCCAAGAAGGCCAAAAAGCAGGGCGAGCCCAGAGCAGGAGCCCAGCAGCACTGAGCGCTGGTTTCTAACACAGTTCTCCAGTACCAAGGCCACTTCTGCCAGGAGGGTGGCTGATTCCAGCATGGAGGCAGAAGTACACAAGATGAGCCCAGCCATCTTCAAGAAAAGAAAAGGTAAAAAGGACAAAAAAGATCTGAAGGACATAGGACCCGACCCGACTGACAGAGCCAGAACAATCTGATGAGCAAAATAAATAACATGAGCGTCAGATTATAACCCACAGAACAAAATAAATATCCACGAGTCCACGCAGATATACACAAGTGATTGATTAAATAAATAAATGTGGAGAAGGGGCGAATGTTCCTTACAGAATTTCAATCGATGAGCGTAGGAGGCATGAGGAAACAGAAAATCACCATCAGAACCCACAGAAGTCACGGCCGCAGGCGAGAGCCACCCACGAATGTTAACTCCATTAGCAAAACTTAGAGGAGAAACAGGAAACTTGCAAAGCCTCAAAGCATCTTCCCCCAAATATTTACTAATCATCCTGGCGGGCTTAACTGGGTGTCCCCCTCCAGGGGTTGGGTCTGAGCTCTGGCCCTTGACAGTGGGCTGGATTGGTGACTGCGGAGCCCAGCAGGGAGAGAGCAGCTCTGAAGCAGGACAGGCTGCCACCACCCTGACAGGGCCAGGCCCACAGCAACCGTCACAGCACTGCGTCAGGCCCTGCCAGGCATGTCAGGAAGGCGGCTCCTCACTCCGGCTCTTCCCCCCAAACCACAAGCCCTGCCCCTCATGAAGCTAAGTAGAGGGACACTCTACAAACTCCCTGGCCAGTACTCTTGCAAAGACCAGTACTTTTTCAGGGTCAGGAGAATCAAGGGAAGATGGAGATGCTGTCACAGCTTAGAGACCAAAGGGACACCAGGACAAAGCACAAAGCAGGGACCTGGAAAGATCTTCAACCAGAAAATGGACACTGCACCACTATTACTTCTCAGTATTGATAAGCACTCCTCATTTACCTAAGATGTTCCCACTGGGGAGGCAGGGTGGAAGGCATATAGGAAATTTTCTGCACTGTTCTCTGCAACACTTCTGAAAAATAGCTATTTTAAAATAAATTTAAAAAAAAAAATGAGGGACATGATTTATGTTGAAATGCTACAGTAAAATCAAATACAATTTACTTCAGGGCTTATAAAGGGGTTGGTGTATGTTATGAATTGAAACGTGTCTCTCGCAAAAAGATGTGGGAATCCTCCTAGCCCCTTGTACCTCAGACTGTGACCTTATTTGGAAATCAGGTCTTTACAGAGGTCAAGTTTAGCATGACGTCATTAGGGTGGCCCAAATCTGGGCATGGAAACATCCACACAGAAAGAGACAGAAATGTGACAAGACATAGTGAGAAGGCCTCGTGAAGACGGAGGGTTAGAGTGAAGTGAGTGCAAGCCAAGGAATGCCACAGACAGCCAGCAAACATCAGAAGCTGGAGGAGGCTGAAAGGGTTCTCCCCCTTGATTTCCGACTTCTGGCCTCCAGAGCAGGGAGAGAATAAATTGCCGCTGTTCCCAGCGCCTGGTTTGTGGTGATCTGTTACCACGGTCCCAGGGAGCTAATACAGCACATAACAGTCTCAGCAAATAGCGGTGCTATGGCTGTGAGCTGAGAAAAGACTCAGGGAGTACAACGTCTCGTGGGGGTTGGGGTGAGGTGTGCAGCCGCCCCTGTTCACCGCAGCTACCAGAGAGTGTGAATTCTCCCTGCCGGATCTGGGTTTCCTTCCAAAGCAAGCACAGTGCCTGGCACCTGGAGTCATCTGCTTACTGCCACAGAGAACAAAAGTTGAGTCCACAGGTTGCACACAGGCGCAGACCCTAAGCAGAGCCAGCCCGTGAGAGTGTTGTGTTTGGACAGTAATGCTTTCTAAAAACCCTGAAATCATTGCTAATATCGAATCCCAGGAGCTGTTGCATAAAAAGCTGAACTTAAATCTCTTAAAAGATCATGTAGTCTGGCTACATTCCCTTGTGGCAACAGGCTGGGGATTGACGTCTGATTGTTCCTCTAAAAGGGTGACAAGCTCAATTTGCCATAGTCTCCACCACTCCCTACTGCCTCACACCAGCTCTCTCCATCTGTCCTTCCTGCCCCCAGAGGCACACATCTAGGTCCATATGCATCTAGGCATCTGGCATGGGATGTCCATGTGTTTAACATTTTTTCTGGCAAACGTTTTTTCTGTTTATTTTGTCCCAAGAAATGTTTTGGTATTGGAGATGTAAATAGCTTACTACAAATAGCTTACTGCAAGTCAATCTTTTCCACTGAGATTTTGTCCAGCAAAAATAAGGAACACAGTCTTTAAGAGGGCTCTCTGAAAGGGCCAACAAACCAGCAATGTGATGAGTTCACCAGTGGAGGCATTTATGAAGTACAAAGGCTACCTACAGTCTCCTGGAGAAGTTAGGGTTCAAAAAAGCATAACCGATAAGGAAACACCAGCCTCATCCTCTGAGCCTGGACTGGGGAAGAGAAACAAGAACTAGCAGGAAGCGATAAGGAGATGGTAGTTCTGTGAACATTTGAGGAGGGTCTGGGTCAGGTCTGGGTGGGATTGGTCCTGGGCGTATGGAGTTCTGGAAAAGGAAAGCATGGGACAATCAGGGAAGTCTTCCTGGAGGAGGGGAGGTTTGAGCTGAGGCTTGGGAGAAACAGAGGAATAGTATGGAAAGGGAAATGGGGAGCACAGGGCAGCTGAGGAGTAAGAGTGATGGTCAACTGAATTTGAAAGGGGTAAGAAGGGGTATTCAAGCACAGCCAGACCCCAAGTGCTGGGGAGGAGTAAGAAGGGGGCAGCCTGTGCAGGGCCCTGAATGTCTTGAGAAGAGCCTATCGGACTGGAGTGATTAGTGGTCTGAATCCTGCTCACCGGGGGCCGAGTACTCTCCCCACACAAAATCACACTCCAAGGAGATAAACTTAATGACAAGCAGTGACGTGACTTGTCCAAGGTCACTGGGCTAGTGAAAGGCAAGCCTGGACTAGAGACCCAGGAGACATAACAGGGTGGGTGTGCAAGATCAGGCTGGTTTAGGAGTTTGGCTGTGTGAACCTAGAGAAGTTACCTAACATCTCTGAACCTCCTGAGCAAGACTACAAAGACCTGTTCACAGTAACCTGGGTCCTAAGTACCCTCTAACTGGCACACGCTTGGGGCTGATGGCTCCAGTCAGCCAACCCCCAAACAAGGCAGCAGGAGGGAAGGAATCAGGCTGCAAGATAAGAAAATCTAAAGGAAAGGAACACAAGGAGCCAGAGGGCCTCCAGGCTCCGAGGAACCAGAGGACAAGGCTGGTGCCAGGGCTGACAGAGGTGAAGGTGGGGCCACAGCAGAACCACAGGATCCGCGGGAGGCACCCCTGCACCAATCCTAGCCCTCGCACAGCATCACATGGGGGCTGCAGGATGAGCTCTCCGGGCGGCTCTGCAGAGGGTGCAGCTGGGCCCTGGACAGGACACACATTTATGCTGGGATTGCCCCAACCCTTCCCCTGCTTCACTCAGGAGGCCTGCGGCTTAAGTCCTCCCAGAGCACAGGCTGCTGCCCCCCTACACCTCCCACCACAGCAGGCAGCAGACGGGGAGAATAGAGGTGGGTACAGGTGACTTCAGCATGTCTGTAATCGCCAGCGCGGCCAGAAGTCAAGCGTGAAATTAACTTTAACTCTGCGGCCCCAGCGCACAGACACAGAGAGATTAAAGTGACAGGACAAGGTCCTTGGGGAGGGGATGACCCCCACACCTGGTGGCAATTACAGCAGCAGGAAGCGGGCAGGGAGGAGGCCCAGGTCAGGGAGGGGGTGCGCCTGGTGAAGAAGCAGGCCCCCCAGCCAGCCCAGCCTAGTTCCCCTCCTTGTCACTACATCACAGACGGATTTGTTACACCACCAGAACATCAGGTCTGGTCCACTGCTATCTCGCCAAGGCCCAGAACAGGGCTTCACACATAACAGGTGCTCAGTAACTATTTGTCAGCTGAATGAATGGCCAGGGAATGACTCTCTTGGACTCTGTAGATAAGTAAGAACAAACTCAGAACACTTCCTACATGCCTCACGCTGAGCTCAGCTCCTCAGGATCTAACTGAGTGAATCCTCAGCAACCCTAAGATCCAGAAGCTTTTATCAAAGCCATCTCACAGATGGGGAAACTGAGGTGCTGCGAGTAAGGACTAGCCACAAAGGCCTGATGCCTGTGTCCCCAACCAGCCCCTTGCTGTCTAGTTCCAGGAAATGGCTACACCATCTCCACAGCTGCCTGGGCCCTGACCTTAGTGTCCAGAGGACCTCCCTGGCCCTGGGCAGCTCTCACAGGGTCAGGTCCACCTGCATCCCACCAACGCTGCTTGCCAGGATGGCTGCAGTGACTTCCGCCAAGGTCTCCTGACCCCCAGTCCTTTCTCCCTGTAACCACCAGAGTGAACTTTTAAAACAAAAACCTGATCACATCACTTCTCAGCATAAATCACATTGCTGGCCACAGGCTTGGAGTGACTCAGTACCAGCACCGCAGGTGAGGCATCCTCAGCAGGTTCTCTAGAGCCCAAATGTACCAAGGACCTCACTGGCAATAAGAGATGTTCTAGGTTGTTCCATCAGTCACTGGGAGCTGCAAGGGGGTTGGCTGTGTAAACCACCAGAGCCTGGACCAGTCATGTGAGTCCAGAAACTACAATAGAAGGGACCTCCCCGTCAAGTAGTCCAGCACCAGCAGATACTTGAAAACCATCAGGAGGTTTGCATGCCTCCAGGGATAGGAGCTCACTACTGCACATACACCCTGCAATTCCACCCAAGGGAAGCTCGGACAATTAGACCAGGCTGGACTGCCCACTGGACCAGCTAAGTACCACCCTCTGAGGTCACACAAAAATGCCTGCATGCTTTCACAATGATGAACCTTGAACAGTTCAAACACTGTGATCCCAAAGACCTCCAACCTAACACCCCCAGAGTGCTCATAGCCACATGTCCCCCAAGGGGCAAGGTCTAACGCCCCTTTCACCTTTTGGGTTTCTGGATAACAAAACAAGGTAATATCCCTTCTTCAGCCAATGAGGCTATGCACCCTTTATTGCATCCCAAGAAAAAACAGTCCTGTTCCAGCAGTCACACCTCCAAAGCTCTGCTCCCAGCTTGAACACATGAAGCTACCAGCCTTCAGCACAGGCCTGGTGGCCCTGTTCTGCCAGCTCAGCCTACACCAACTGCATGTGGCATTTAACTGATTTGTTTTGCTCCTAGCATCCATATGGGAAAAGGCCCCATCATGGGGATATTGGCCACCTCCAAAGCCTCTGGGTCTGGAATAGTGCTCCCAGGTGCTCTACTATGGGCTGTGCCACAGAAGGACCCCTGTGCAGATTGCAGGACACTCCCAAATATGCTTACATCAGAGCCCAGACCACGGTTCCTGCTTGCCCTGGGCCACCCATCATCCTGAGCCCACTCTTCTTTATCTGGTAACAGCTTCCTTCCACTCAAACAGGATAAAGATCAGCAACCTTCCACCTCTGTCTCCAAGACCGTGTGTGCAGCTTCCTCGCCTGCCCTCGCCAACCCAAGGTCTGTCCCGAGAGCTTCACGGGGCACGCCCTCTGCCCCTCCCTGCCCTGGGCCTGCTCAGTGCAGAACTCCTACCCAGACTGCCCTCTTCTGACCCCGCCTCCAGCACCTGGCCCTGGCTGGGAGCCCTAATACCAGCCCAGACTTCCAAGGCCCAAGAGCCTATCCCTGACCCCATGTCTGCACACCTGCCCCTGGGTACTCACATTTTGATGTTCTCATGATACTGCCTAGTGTCAGAGGGTTGGTTGTACAAGGGCTGCAAAGAAAAAGAGAGGGAAGCACATCAGAGCAGAATCTGGGTGTTAGGCAGCTGGTGTGGGCCAGGCTAGCTACTGCAGAGCCCTGTGGCTGGAGCTCTAGCCCTGGGCAACCTCAGCCATGAGCCACAGTGCCCAAGGCCCTGGCACCAGGGACCTGCCCACTGGTGTGAGAATCGGCTGCAAGCATAAAACAGAACATGGGACCCAGCCCACAGCCCCAGCCAGGAACAGGCTGTAACCCTCTGGGCACAGCTGTGTGTACCATGCCCCCCCAACCACGGCCATCATCGCTATTCTGTAAGGCACTGGGCAGTGCTGGCCTGACCGCCCAGGGACAAGCACACATATCCCAAGGGACAGAGATCAGCAACAGTCTCAAATACAAAAACTGATCTACTTCTCAGTGAGACATCACAGGAGATGCCATGTCACTCCACTGACTGGCAGAAGACAAAAAGCCAAATAATGCCAGGTGTTGGTGAGGACGTGGGTAGACAAGAAAGCCTGCACACAGAGGGTGGAGACCATATGGGTGTATGGGCCCCAGTGAGCAGTGAAGCAGCACCTATTAAAGCATGGCAACACGTGCCCTGTGACCCCCCACCCCCATTACACATGCCGCAGAAATGTTTGCGCACTGTGTTCCCCCAGGAGAGGAGCACCAGAATGGCTGGACTGCAGCACATCAGCTGCCAACTGAATGCCCACCATTGGGGCTGGTAAGGAATTAGGATTCATTCACACCGCGTGTGCTCTCCAGCAGCGAGGCATGAACGAGTGCGCACCACGGGAGGAAGGCTACAGCAGTGTCTGCTACGGGCCCAGCCCTGAGCTAGACACCGTGTTATCTCCTTCCTGGGTGGCAGCGCCACAGTGAGGGGCTAAGGGCATAGCTTGGTTCCACATCCGGGCTCTGCCACCTCTTAGCTGTGCATCTCTCGGTGAGTTACTCAAGCCATTTGTTTGCATCTATAAATGGGGTTGAACTCATATAGAGTCATGGAGATCAATAAGGAATACATGCAGAGCTCTTAGACGAGCACCTGGCAGACTGAAACATCTGAGAAGTATCAGCGTCATCACCACCACTGGGGAGCGGTGACTGTATTAATGGCACCCATTTTTCCTGACTCCTCCCCCTACCCTTGCTTTGGTCAGTGGGACAGTTGCAAACTTAATGAAAGCAGAGGCTTGAAAATTCACGTCTGCGTTTCTGCTTCCTCTCTTGTTCGCCTGCCCCCGTCAAGAGGACAGGCCTAGCCTGGCCTACTGGAGGCAGAGACAACGTGGAACACGGCAGTGGCACCCGAGCCAAGGCTGAGCTACAGCCACCGTGCTGCCCATGCTGCCCATGGATGTGAGCTGCCCATGGATGTGAGCTGAGCCCAGATCAACAGAAATGCTCACCTGACTTCCACACTAGTGGGAAACAGTAAACAGTTGCAGTTTCACGCCACTAAATGTGGGGTTGGTTTGTTACACAGCTGTGGCTAACTGATACCATCCCCATCCCCATTTTACAGGTGAGAACACTGAGTCCCTGAGAGGTTAAAGAGCTGCTAAGAGAAAAGCTGGAACTAAAATCCTGTCTCAACTCCAGTTGTGGAGGGAAGGGGCCGCTCTGTCTCTGCCCATGCTCCTCTGTGTGTCTCCCGCTGCATGTCCGTGTGCCTCTGCCCCTCTGCACACACCCATATGTGCAGCAGGACCCTGCCAAGGCAGCCATGGATGACTGTGGTGCAGCCAAGCACACAGAGTGAGGGGTCAGACAGGACAAGGGAAGGGTGGAGCCATAGAGTCCCGATGCCTCAGGGCAGGGAAGGCAGCGTGAGAGGAGAAGGCACTTAAGACCCCGACCTAGATATTCTCCCTAGAACACACCTCTGACACCTACAAACATCCTGACAATCCTAGCCAGTGGGCACCCCCCTACAAGCTGCACAGCCACAGGCCTCCTGCCACTCCCAGCCTCCATGGAAAGGGTGGGCCCCTCAGGGGGACCCTCCACTGCCTGGGCAGTCATAGGCCTATGGATAGAGCACCACAGGCAGCCCTGGCCAATGAAAAGGTCACCTGTCACATGGTGTCTCCCATATTCCCTCCATGGCAAGTCCAGGCTCCAAGCTCAGCTACTTCCCCAGGAAGGGAGATAGCACCCTGCTGCTGGCACAGAACATCTCTCCCCACAGCTGGTGCTCAGGTGGACATGAGGAGGTTTCCCCAGCCCCTCTGCAGGGGATTGAACATGAGGGCAACTACACAGCCTGCAGTCAGATACACTGCAGAACTTCCCAACCAAGAGCTTATGACGTTGCACAAGGCTGAGAGCCTTTATCTCAGAACAGCAAGGGGCATACAGAGATGCCGGGCCGAATTTCATGTCCACATTTAATCCTTTATAGGCATTAGGGCCTTTATATTCCCCACTTGCCAATAAAACACAGGCCAGGAGGGTGTGGGCAGGGCCTGAAGGGTCAGTGTCCAGGGGCAGACCTCCAAGATTTAACTGACATGAGGGCGCCTCCTTCGCTAGCTGTGGGATCTCTCACCCGTGCCTTCAGCACTCCAGGCTCAGCTGGTAAATGGGCAGGAGCACACAGGACCTACCACCTTGGGCTGTCGAAATATCAGGTTTGCTTTGTTTTGGCTTTAAAGATGGCAAAAGGCAATGTGTCCACCACCTAAGGAAGCCAGGAGGGGCTGAAGGCCCACATACAGAGCCCCAGGGAGCAAAGCAATGGGCAGGGGGCTGTGTTTCTACAAGGTGGGATAGGCCAGGAAAGGGGGGCAACTTCAGAGGGCAGCGAGGTCCCAGTCAGCCTGGGACCCACCAAACAGGCAGGGAGGGAATCACTTTAACTCTGCCAGGCAAGGTGAGCCAGAGCACCCTGGCCCTGGAGGAGGCCTTGGGGACAGCCCTTCAGCAAAAAGACCAAGAGAACACTGCGGTCTGACCCCAGGGACGCACTCCCTCCGCACTCTCTGAGGTAAACTGAGACCTGGGAGGGAAGGGGAGACTCAGCCCAGAGTGCTGGGGGCTGCTGGCCACCTTTGGGCAGCTGTCTGGGGAGGTGCTGAGTAGGATGGGGGTGGGGAGGGCCCGGAATATGTCCTGTCCTTTGCTGGTACACTGTGAGGGGAGGGCAGAGTAGGGCCCAAGGAGGTCTCCCCTAGATCCCCTCCTCCCCATCCGCACAGGGAGCTGCACAAGCCAGGACGCAAGTCCCAACACGTGGTGGCCAGGAGACAGCCTCGGCCTGCACACCCTCAGCAGCCCTTGGGGGCTCAGCTCTCCCTGCCTCACTGCCTCACAGGCTTCAATCCCCTCTCAGGACACACCTAAGAGGAAAAAAAACCCTCCCAGGGACCCCAGAGGAGCAAGGTGGGAAGGCTAGGGTGCAAGCAGGAACCCCTGGCTGTGTCCGGGGCTTGTCTCTCATTTCCTCCTCTTGATATGGGGGCGCAGCCAAACAGAGGGCAGAAAGAGCACTGGGGTGAGGGGGGGGGTGCAAGACTGTAAAGCCCTGGGCAGAAATGAGGTGTTTTTATGACTAAGAGAGCAGAACTGGGTCTTGGGGAGAAGGAAGAGGGTCCCTCCTGACCTGTCTTCTGCCGGCCGGCCAGGTAGCCGAGGACAGCCAGCACCCCAGGTGGACAGAGCTGCTAAGAAATGAAGTATCAGCCCCAGCCCTCAACCCTCTGGTTGACACCATATTCTTAAAATAGCAGCTCTGTACAGGAAGGAAACCAGTGACTCAAAGCAGCGGGGAGAGGAGGGAGCTGCGGCCACCCACACCCCCACCCTGAGCTGCCCCCTTCTCCAGAGCAGGCCCAGACGGGCCGGGAGGTGGGGGCTGGTGCCCAGGAAAGCCCAAAGGAGCTGCCTATGCAAATTTTCTTCCTTTCCAATGCAAATGATCCTGGGCCCAGACCCCCCTCGCAGGGAAGTCGCAGAGCCCTATCACTGCCCCCGAGGCAAAGCAGCCTCTCCAGAGGCTGAGTGCTTGCTCCCTGGCTGCAGGTGGGAGAGGCCTCTGGGAACTGGATTCGCCTTGGTGCAGCCCGGTGGCCCAGGATGGGTTCAGCAGCAGCAGGCCTCCAAGGTCTGAGCTCTCACCCACAGGTAGCAAGGAGCAGCCACTGTGGAGGGCACACCTCTGAGCTGCCTCCGCGTGGAGGTCACCTCTGGCCACCTGGGCCTTGCAGTGACAGAGACAGAGGGCAGACCTGTGCACAATAGTCAGCTGCAAGCCCGCGGGGTCCGCACACCTCCCTGCAACATCTCTTGCTATGTGACCCTGGGCAAGGCATTGCCCTCTCTGAGTCTCATCTAGGAAAAGGACTATGGCGCTTCCACAAGGCCTGACACATGGTGGGTGCCCTGTCAATATGAGTCCCCTCCCCAGCCCCACTGAAGGCCACCAAGCCAAGAGCCCACTGACTTCAAGAGGACTCCAGTGACAGCCCCTCCACACCTTGCCCGCCTAAGCGACTAGCTTTGAAAGCCTCCACTCAGAGACAGCCCCACCACCCAGAAAAGAATCACGTGGATTCTGAGCCCAGCAGACACACTCCCCCACCCACAGGGAGGCTGGCCCTGCTTCCTGCATGGGCATTCCTGGGGCCTCCACCTCCAGACACAGTGACCTCCACTCACCCCCGCTCAGGAGGGCTCTGGGACCAATTAGGTCAGGAAAGGGGAGAAGGGGCCCTCCAGGTCTGGAAGTGCAGAGGTACTGCCTCTGGTTCTCCCATCTCCACAGGCAAGGGGGGAAACCAAGGCAAGGGGCAACTTACTGGTAGGAACAGAAAATGGTGCAGCAACTTTAGAAAACAGCCTGTCAATTCAAGTAGCTGAACAGAGAGGCAGAGTTAACATGACCAGCAATCTCAGCCCTAGCTATGTACCGAGGGGACATGAAAATGTATGTCCACGTAGAAACTTGTACATTACTGCTCATGGTCACTTTATTTATAATGGCCAAAAGCAAAAACAATCTAATGTCCCTCAGTGGATAAACAGATACATGTGGTCCATCCATACAATGGATTATGATTCAGCCATAAAAAGGAATGAAGCTCTGACACACATTACACCAGAGATGAATCTTAAAAATATTATGCTGAATGAAGTCAGACACAAAAGGCCATATAATGTATGATTCCATTGATACGACATATCCAGAACAGACAAATGCGTAGAGACAGAAAGCGGATTAGTGGCTGGTTAGGGCAGTGGGAGGGAGGCTGGGGAGTGGGTAGATAAGGAGATGACAGTTTAGAGTACAGAGCTCTTTTTGAGATGGTGATATGTCCAAACATTGATTGTGGAGATGGTCGCACACATCTGTGAATAGACTAAAAGCCAGTGAACTGTACGTTTCAATGGGTGAATTGTAAGGCATGTGAATTACACCTCAATAAGGCTACAAAAAAAAGGGGGGATGATAGAGAAGCCCAGAAATCATGCCCAACAGGAGAAGCAAGACCCTATGCTGGGAGGCTGCCACTCATGCAGGAGGGGTGCTCTCCCACTTCCCCACTGACTGTCTGGCTCTGCCCTTTGGAAAGGCCAGGGAGGCTTGAGGCCAGCCACTCACTGTTCCTCAGAGGCCTGAGCAGACGGAGCCCAAGCTGGGAGCAGCTTCACCGCTGAAGAAACTCAGGGGAAACAGCACAGCCCTCCTACAGGCTTGCACCAGCTGCACACTTACTATAGGCCAAGCACCGTGCCCAGTAAGCCTGACCACACATCACTGCTCCACCTTCACAGAGACCCTCCTCTTCCCATCATGCCCACAAGAGAAATGAGTCCCTGTCCCAAGGCCACTCAGCAAACACACAGTGGACCTGAGTATAAAGTGAGGCTCCAAGTGCATGAGACTTTATTTCTGCCCCATAAGCATGCACACACACACACCCCAGACCTGCCATGTGCACGGGGACCCTCACATCCATCCCGTGTCCACATGTGGGTTAGTGGTGTTCCCCCCAGCACCCTGAGGGGTGCTGACTGGTCCTGGGCAGGTGGGGACTCTGGCCACATCTCCTGGGGATGAGGCTTCTGCCTTGGAGTCCCCTGGAACTCCAAAGCCACCAGCTGGGAGTGTCCATGCCCCCAAGCTTCACATCTCTGATGACACATAAAGGTGATGGGGCACCCGAGACAGAAGAGGCCTGAGGTCTGTTTCCAGCTCTGCTGCTGACATGGCATCTCCCCACCAGCACATGACACTGACGATGTGATGATCATAATAACAATAATAATAACAGCTAATGCTCAGCACTGACTGTCCATGAGGCACTGCATTCAATGTTTTACAAAGTTAATGCAGTTCTTCTTCACTATAACCCATAGGATATGTGTTATTATTCCAGAAAAAAAATACTGAGGCACAGACAGGTTAAGAGACCTGCTCAGGGTCACACAGATGTTAAGTAGCAGATCTGGGAGCTTAATTCAGATCATCTGGCCCAGAGCTTGGGCTTTCCATGCAACACTAGACCAAACGGGCTGGACTCCAATGTGCCAACCTTCCTGCAGCCTACAGGAGTGCCATGGCACCCCCACCACACCCCCAGCATGGCCCAGCCCTTTCACCCACTTACTATCTGCCAGTCCCTCTTATCAGGGGGTGCCTTTCCTCCATCCTCCAAGGACAGGGCAGTGCTTGACAATAGGTGACTTCCTCCTTCGGCACACCTACCCGCCATCTGCCCACCACTCCTGCCACCCTGTCCCAGGGCTCCCTCCCGACCCTACCCCCGAGCTCACCAGCTCCACCTGGGGCCCCAGGCCTTCCAGAATCCGATGTGCAGCTTCAGCCTTCTTCTGCAGGGTGACAGAGAAGACAAGGAATTAAAAAAAAAAAAAAAATGAACAGATTATAAATAGAGGCTCCCAGAACAGCAGGCAGCTGCCCAACCCAGCACGCCAATCCACGGCCGGTGGGGTGGGGGAGGCCTGGGTCTCCTGCAAGCCCTCCCCAGGCTGGAGATGAACACAGAGGGGCCTCAATACCCCTGCCCCATCCCCAGCTAGCTTGCCAAGTTTCGATTCTAACAAATGCACCGTGTTCTCCACTGCCTGCCCCCACCTCTGCCTGACTCCCCCCAGGGCCCAGTGGTGTGGGCACAGCTCCTTGCCAGCCAGCCAGCACTGCCAGGCCCAAGATGCCTTCCTTCGCCTTGGAAGCTGGCTGGGTATCTGCAGTTACCTCAGAGCTGGTGCTGCCAGCAAGGGAGGAGGAGGAGGAGGAGGAGGGGAAGATAGAGGCCTCAGAGATACCCTTTCTAGGATTCTTGTATTTCACAATCATGTGACTATTTCTGAGCTGCCCCGGGGCCTCCCCGCCTCCCTCCCCACCCACAACCCAGGACTTATTAGGAAAACAGGATCATGTGGCAGCAAGGGTTCGGTGGCCGTGAACTCACCAGGCAGGACCTCCAGGCTGGCCATGAAGGCGGACAGCGCCTCCGCCGGGGCCTGGAACCACCGGGGCCTGCTCTGCGGACGTGGAGGGCAGCTGGGCCAGCTGCAGGGGGTGGGGGTGGACAGAGCTAGGCAAGTGGCTTCAGCGGGGTATTTGCCAGGTCTGGGCCGGTATGTGCAATGGAAAGTGGGCTGCCCACGGCGCACCTCAGGAGGCATAGGTCCCTCCTATGCCCAGGAAACCTAGGTGCTCCTGACTCAGCCAAACTGGGAGCCCACTCAGTGTCTGCAGTGAGCTGGGGGCAGGCCAAGCAAGTCACCATCATCAGATCAAAACTGTCCCCCGGTGATCCCCAAATCCGACCCACAAAAGGTCCTGAGGAAGGTAGCTGACAACAGAGTTAGAGGCTCAGGCTCCTGGTGTCACAGCAGGGAGGAGGGTGCCAAGGGCCGGCCTCACTCCCCCACCCCAGCCCCAGACAGCAGGTATGTAGGTGGGCTCAAGCTGGCACCTAGAACTAGCTCCGCCTAGAGCCCTGGGCCCAGCCCACCCAGGACAGAGCCATGCTCTTGGCCCCCTTGGCAGAGCCGGAACCCCGAGACTAACAGCCTCAGAGCATGGCTGGGGGCCAGAAAACCGAGGGCAAATTATTATAATGACTGCCATCTTTTGAGCACCTACTATGCATTGAGCACACAGTGTATGTTACTAATATTTAAATCACACACAAACACAAGGTGAGGCAGACACAAGATGCGTCCCCGTTTCACAGGTGATGAGACTCAGGCAGGGAAAGATGATGCAGGGAAGAAGCCCTTCTCACCTCCACGCTCCACAGACGGAGAAAGACAGGGCAGTCCTATCCAGGGCCTCCCCTGAAACTGAGACCTGTATCACCTGGGCACTGGAGACAGGTACCACCCTGACAGACCACCCCTGCCCCAGCCACCCCTTGGAGCAAGAAAGTGTCAGTTGTAGGGTACTGAAGACAGGAGAATTCCCGAGCCAGGTCAAGTGGAGGACTGGTTATGGGGTGGAGAGGTGATGGGGCAGCTCCCCAAATACTTCCTGAGCACCCACTCTGTATTAAGCACTGGGGCAAGACAGAGGCCCACCCAAGCCTGCAATAAACTGAGCCTAGTGGGCAGCCGGACAAGAACAATGATGGCACATTTTATGCTCAGGCAGAGAAAGGTGTGTGTGGTGTACAGAGGAGGCATGAAGCAGGGCACAAGTCACTCTCTCCAGAAAGATCACAGGAGGGACACATAGGCTGAGTTTTGAGGGATGAAGAGGAGTTTGTGTGCATTCATGAGACTCTGTGGGGATCAGCAGCAACTGCTCAGGTAGAAAAAGTGGAGATACCAAACACAGGAAGGGCAGGACTGGAGCAACTAGACCACTGAAAACTGCCACCTCACAGGGCTGGTCCTCAGTCTCAGAACTGAACTCAGGCCCCATGGTGGCGGATCCTCTCAGAAGCCTGCATCCTAGGAACCATAGCAGATTCCATCTTCCACCACATCCTCACAGTCTCAAGAACATGGGCACCAGGAGAGAGCCTTCCTGCAGCCCTTGGAGAGGAGCAGGGAGGAGCTCTCTTCTGACTGGCCAAAGCTGTGGGGAGCCCAGGCAGCTGGGTGCACCCCAAAGCCAGCTCCTCCTCCCATGTCCCATGGGAGCTTCTGTTGTTCCTAACAAGCCTTCCCCACACTCTACTTCGAAGCCCTGGGTGACCCTGCAATTCAGTTTCCAAAAGGTGGCACACCTAAAATTTACCCAGAAGAACCCTGTCAGAAACAGTCCTAAAGATGCTGTAACACTGGACAGACAGGGCAGCTGGGGACTGAGAGCAAGGGCTTCACAGCCAGCTGGCTTAAGTTCAAATCCACTTCCTAACCACGTGGCCCTCTTCAAATGGAGGGGAGACACCCCCAGGAAAGAAGCACGGCCAGGGAACACAGGTGCAAGCTACAGAGCCAGCCTGGCACCAAAGACTGCCTCTTACCCTCTGAGCTGAAGCTCCTTGCCCCCTGAGAACCAACGCCAGACTCCTGGCCAGGGTCTATGGACGCCCACAGCCCAGCCTTTGGCAAGCCACTGCCCCAGGTTGCCCTGCTCAGCTCCCAGGGGACAAACCCAGGACCTCAAGACAGCAGAGAAGGGAGAGCAGGGACTCCGGCCAGCGACCAGGGGGTCAGGCTGGAGTCTCATTCAAGACTCATGCAGGGGACCCCAGCGCTCCATGTGGCCAGACCTCCTGGTGGCCATGGAGTTGGTGGCTGTGCTTGGGGCACCAAAGATCTTAGTCACCTGCACAGAAAGATGCACACAAGCCCATGGACCCATGTGACCAAATACTGTGCTACATCTCTAAGGGCATGTGTGCACACAAGCCGACTCATACACACACCCACATTCAAACTTGCGCAGATATACATGTACCCAAGTGGACATGTGCATATTCGTGTAGTACAACCACACACATGCCCCATGCACAGCAACTTACATATGCATGTCACACATACAGTCATCCAGAGGCCCACTTGAACACATGTGCACAGATATGTTCATGGATGTGTAAGCTCAGACAACCATGCACCCACACATGCCAACTCATGTGCACATGCATATAGTCAATACACATGCATGCATGAACACACACGAGTGACATGTAAATGCATGTGTGCCCCCACCAGCTGCCACATACACACACGTAGCCATGTACATATGAGCACAGCCATCCATAGTTACATGTGCACCCACATACTGGCACACATGTACCCCCCCAAGTATGCGCCCAGTTACGGCTCTCCTCTTATGCAGGGAGACTGAGCCTCGCCCTGTCTGGCCCCCGCCTTCCCTGCACAGACCCCCACTCTGGGTCCTCAGCTACCTGCTCTGGCTGAGCGCCAGGCTTCCCCCTCTTCGTCTCAGGTAGGGGTAGTGTCCATCCAGGAAGCCCGAAACCACAGCCACACCACCCTCCCCTCCACACCGTGTCCATCTGCCAGGGGTGGTGGCATTTCAGGGCTTCACTGGCCCTGAGGTTTGGCTTCCTCGCCTGCACGTGGCTCAAAGCCTCTGTCCAGAGCTCTCACGGGTGTGATGAAGGAGATGCAGTGGCTGAGGCGGAATTCACGGATTCGTGTTAACAAATTCACCAGGACAACATTGTCTTTGGAGAAACCTCTGGACTCCAGGAACTGTGAGGGACAGCCAGACGCAGGGGCAGAGCTGGGCCTGGAGCAGGGTGCCGGGCTGTAGGATGGGGCTGGACACTGCCCTGAAGGCCCAAGTCACAACCCAGGGTGGGGCAGGGCTCTGAAGCTAGAACTGGGGTGCCTGGACCTCCGAAGTGCTCTACAAGGTGCTTCATGTTCCTGGTTATTACCGATGTATCCATCTTTGTCCTGCTTAGTCCTAATCACATTGTGTACACACTTTACTAGTAAAATGCCTAAAATCCAAGGCAAGAGAGGGTTTGAGTCTTATTCTCTGATGTCCTTGTCACTAGGCAAATGGGCAGCTCTGCCTCCATAAATTCAGCCTCCTCACCACCTTTTGAACAGGCTGTAGTCCTCGCCACCACAATGTTCTACCTGTTCCCAGGGGCACCCATTTTTGCAGCCCCAGCTCAAGGCCTGTCTCCTCCAGGAAGTCAACCTCTATCGCCCATAGCCCAGAATTCCTGCGGTATCCACGCCATGCAGGCTGTCCCTCATTTGTACATCCTTCACTAGTGCTGCCTGTGGCCCTTTCACCCAAACTCAAAGTGTGAGCATCCCCCCAAGACCCGCCAGGCCTCCACCTCCTGTGCCCCACACATTCCCTCTGAGGATCAAATGAGAGCCCCATGCCCTCTGAGCCTTTGCTGTGACCTCCACCCAAACACCAAGGACCCATCCACTGCTTCCCAGAAGCCTTTCCCAACCCTGGCCACCGCCACCCGTCCCCAGGGCCTGCAGCAGCTCTGCTCCTGCTCAGTCATCTGTGCACACCTGCCTGGCCCTGCCCTGCCCACGTGGGTAGCTCCTGGGAGGCAGGAAAAGTCAGGCTCCGCTGGCTCCCCCTGTGCAGGCTGGCGCCTCATCCATGTGCCCCGAATGGATAATGAGCCACAGTTCAATATGCAGAAAAGCCAGGCGGGCTCTGCCCCATGGGGAAGCTTCGTTTTCAAGCCAGCACAGCATTTAGAGATAGACCCTTGTCATCCACCTCTCAGAGGAACCAGCAGGGAAGGAAGGAGGATTAAAATTTAATCCTATTGATCCCCCAAGGGGTGGTCAGTCCTGGATGCTCCTGCCAAAGGCAGCTGAGGGGCCTCCCACCCACTCAGCCTCCAGCCCCAAAGGCTCAGCCCTAGCAGAGGGGATCCCTGCTAACCTCTAATAGGGCAAGGAGCCAGGACACCCCCAAAAGCAGGGGACTCTTATGGAAGAAAATCATTTGTTCAACAAACATATAAGCATTTATTGTGTCCCAGGTATTGTTCTGGGTCCTGGAGACACAGGTGGGAAAAAGGAGGCAAAAATTCCCGTCTCATGGGGCCCTGTTTATGATAAACAGAATAAACAAATAAAGTATAAATCATGTCCAGTGGGAACAACAGAGGAGAAAATTAAAGCCAGGAACAGAAGAAATGGCGATTTTAGTGTTTTCAGGATTACATGGTGGGTCAGGATGGGCCTTGCTGAAAATGGGGCATTTGAGCACAGAGCTGAGGGAGTGAGAGAGAGCCAGTGGGGAAAAGGAGCTCCAGGCAGAGGGCATAGCCAGAGCAAAGGCCCTGAGGCAGGAGCACGCCAGGTGTGGAAGGAAGAACAAAGGCCAGGGGTGGGTGGTGGGGATAAATGAAAGACCAGAATGGGGCTCAGCGACAGTGAGGAGCCGAAGTCCTCAGGCCAGTGGTGTACCCATTTGTGGCGACTATGGGTATGATTCTGTCTCCCCCACCAGAAAGCCAATGTGAGTGCACGAGGGCCAAGTCACTGCTGCGTCCCCAGTGCCTGGAACAGTGGCAGGCATATACAGCAGATATTCAATCGCATGGTGAATGAATGAACAAGCCAACAGGGTGAGTGAGACGTGCCCACTGAACTTACTAGGCCAGCTCTCACAGTCCCAGGCGCCAGGTTTGAGTGCTAGCCTGCCCCTCACTAGCTGCGAAGCCTCGAGCACATTACCCAGAGCTTCAGTTGCCTGGCTCATCTGTAAACTATGGGGGCTGGGGTGGGGACACAGGGAAGGGCCAGAGACTACCATACACCATCAGGACACTATTGGGATGAAGTCACTGTAAATGAGCATAAAGCCCCGGCCTGAGGTGCAGGGGAGAGGGAAATACCAGTGCTCTGGAACTGCAACATGGTAATTACCAGCCCAGAGTGGGGGGCTACAGGCTGCATGTGCCTGGTCAGCCTCTACTCCCCTCCTCTGATCTCCCCTTGGAAGAAACCCCCTCCTCTATGCAGTCCTACGGTAGGGGTGGGCCTAAGACTCAGCCCTGGCCAATCAGTGTAGTCAAACACCCTGGCCTCAATGGGATGCAAGGAGGAGCAGGCTTCCTACGATGGTCACCAAAGGCTAGGGAGCCTGGGGCTCCAGCCTGTTAGAGTCTGCTCGTCCCCAACAAGGGCCAAGGACACTGTGGCAATGTCCTGAAAAGCCACCAACTTGCCTCTCTAGCTGCTGGAGAGAACCATGCCTGATCTCCTACCCAAGGATCAGGGAAGGCAGGCAGAGGGGCTGCCTGGGGTGACACAGTCAAGAGCCTTGCCCTTGTACCCTCTACCACATGCTCCTAGGTTCAGCTTCGTCCTGGCTCTTACTCCCAGCCTCAAATCTCACTTGCTGTGCAATCTCAAGCAGGTCACCTTCCCTCTCCGAGCCTCGGTTTCTGTATAAGTAAAATGGAGAGAATAACAGTACCTGTTTCATATAGGCCTGGAGAAGATTAAGTGAAATCATACAAAATATAAACAATAACAAGAAGAGAAGAACAACGATGACAACAGTAACAGCCCCCAAAGGCACTTGGCACCAGGCATTGTTCTCGGGGCACTACCTGAACCCATTTAATCCTCAACCACTGTACAAGGCAGGTGCTGTAGTTACCACTTTGTAAGTGAGGAATAGGAGTCATAGGAAGGAATAAGGAATTTGCCCAAGGCCATAGAGCCAAGAAGAGGTAGAGATGGATTTGAACCTAGGACACCAGGCTGAAGCACACATGGCCCCTTAGCTCTTCTATCATCATGATTGTTATTAGTGTTACTTGGGGTAGGGGCCAGGGCATAGGAGGACGACTGGCCCTGCAAGGCCCCCAGTAGGCTCATCTGCATCTATTGCTGCTTCAGGAGGTAGAGGCATAGTCAAACCATTTGACCCAGTAGTTCCCTGCCTGGAACTATAGCCAAAGGCCTCAACCACGTTTGCTCCAGAGCAGCCATCCAGACCCCAAGACACCAGCTAGTCCCACCTGGACTCTGAGTACTGATCCAGCAGCCAGGGGCAGATCCCATAGCAGAGACAGCTGGGAATGGTGGCCAAGAGCCCTGGGAAGGAGGGGGACAAATGGAGCCATCTGCACACTTCACTGTATGACCTCAGACAAGGAACAGCCCCTCTCTGGGTCTCAGTTTCCTCATCTGTAGAATAAGGACAGGACTCAACATCCACAGGCCCTGAGCACATTTGGAAAGAGTCAACTCTCAGTCATCAAAGCTGAGCTCTCAGAGACTTAACTGGGATGAAGGGGAGCTCACCACCTCACTAGACACCAGTGTCCACTTCAAGGCAGCTTAGGCTCTTGGGGTTCAACCCACAGGGACACTCTGCTCTGGGTACTCTGAGCCCCTCCCCCAAGACCAAGTCCCCTCCAGCCACCTAGCAGCTGCCCCCTACAGATCCCTAGGAGCCCCTGTAGCCTGTCACAGACCTGTGTTCAACCATCCCGACTGAGGAATCAGGACCTGGGAGAGCTCATCCCCCACCGACCCCTGGCCCCCAGAGATCCCAATGACCTGACACCCACACTCCTCCTACATCCCCAAGACGGCCACAGTCCGCACCAGTCTGCATGTCTGAGCATAGCAGTCGTGGCCACACCAAGATGGGTGCCCCTCCCCTTCCGCTCACAAACCCAGGTCTCTGCATGTGCAGGGGCCAGTGCAGCCCCACCTCACAGACAGGGACACTGAGGCCCGGGGAAGAGCCGGGTCCTTCAAGGTGGCAGCAGGCACAGGGCGGGCTGGTGAGAGGGGGCATACCCGGTTTTCGTCGTAGATGATCTGCACCAGGCTCCGGTGCTTGGACTCAATGGGCGGTGGTGACACCGGCTTCTCGGGCTCTGGCGGCTTCGCAGCCTCCTCCTCCAGCTGTTGCTGTGGGAAGGCAAGGTGCGGTGTAAGCGCCGGGGCGGAAGGAGGCGCAGCCTGCGCTGGTGGCCCCGCACAGGAAGTCAGGCTGCTCGCCATTTCCTCTGAGTCACCGCAGGGACTCCGAGCCCTGGAGGGGCCCCAGCTCCCACAGGGATGGGCCCAGGCACTACACACAGCCTTCCTGGGTTCAAATCCTGCCTGGAGAACTAAAAGCGAGGTGAGCATAACCCCACTGGCCTCAATTTCCTCTTCTGTAAAATGGGGCTACTCACTGTGCCACCCTGAGCTAGTGCAGGCACAGCAGCATGGAGACCAGCTAAAAGCCAGCCATTGCTGCCCATTATTGTCACTGTGAGTACCTTCATCATCAGGACTGGCTGTGTAGACTCTGGAGGTCAACCATCGTCCAGCTATTTCTACCACTTACAAGCTGTATAACCTGGGAAGTTGCTACACTTCTCTGAGCCTCACTTTCCTCATCTGGAAAATGGGGGTGATTCAAGTTCCTACTGTAGAGCTGGTATGACAGTTAAAGGAGCTGATGATGCAAAACACTCAGCACCTAACAAGCAGCCTTTCCTCATCACTGTCATTGTCATCTGCCCAAGGTCTTCACACTGGACCCTCCTTCTCCAAACACCATAATGGACATCCCCTCATGCCGCCATCTCCTTTATACCAAAGTGGGAAATTAAAGACCAGAGACCTCAGACATTGGCCCAAGGTCACACAGGAGGCCAATGACCAGGTGTGTAATCCGACAGGGCATCTTGAGTGAGATGAGAAAGCGGTTCTCTGCTCATTATGCTCACACAGCGTGCCTGTGACCATGGAGCACATCATTATGAAGTCAAAAAGGCAGCCAGGAGGAGGACAACAGAGAAAAAGCTAGAAAATCCAGGCCCTGTTTCTGCTGGCACAAAGGCCTGGTGGGTCCAGCAGAGCTGCCTCGGTCCCACAGCATCTCCTGCTGGTGGCTTCCAGAAAGGCAGCCAGCGCTTGGCAAAACCTTGAAACCCCTCCAGAAAGTGCACAACAAAGCCAAGAAATGGTCAAAGTACACAGCGGGGAAAAGGGGCACAGGAGGAAGGGCCTCTCCAGTTCACGAAAGCGGCCCTCCCTGAGGCACCAAAGAATATACCTCAGACGTCCAGAAACCCTGCTAAGAAGGTGACCCAGAACTCTGCCAAGCCCAGATCCAAACCTTGTCATCCTCACTCATCAGCCCTGTGGCCTCATCCAAGTCACTCAACCTCTCTGGCCCTCAGTGTCCTCCTCAGAGGAAGCAAGAGTAACAGTGCCTCCCCCAAGACTGTTTGGAGGATCAAAAGAGCTGATGCATGAAAAGTATGGGCTGCAGAGCCTGGTAACAACCGGCTATTGAATGCAAATGCAGCCACAAGGGATGCTGCTTCAAGCCCACCACGATGGCCGTAATAAAAAAGAAAAATAGAAAACAGCAAGTGTCGGCAAGGACAATTGAGAAATTGGGGCCCTCGTATATTGCTGGTAGGAATGGAAAAGTTTGGTGGTTTCTCAAAAAGTTAGAGCTCCTGTACAACCCAGCAGGTCCACTCCTGGGTAGAGACCCAAAAAAACTGACCACAGGCCTCAAACACATACTTGGAACACAAGCAGCTTTACCCACAATAGTCAAAACAGACCAAAGTCCATCAACTGATAAACAGATTAACAGAATGTGGCCCAGGCATTGAATGGAATGTGATTCAGCCACAAAAAGGAATGAAGTCCTAACAAAGCTGCACCACGGACGCACCTTGAAAACATGATGCTGAGTGAGACACCAGATGCAAAATGTCACATATTATGTGATTCCACTTTCATGCAAAGTCTGCAACAGGCAAATCCAGAGACTGAAAGCAGATTAGTGGCCATTTGGGGAGGGATGAATGGAGTGACAGCTAATGGGCATGAGGGCTCTTTTGGGGTGACGGAAATGTTCTAGAACTAGACAAAGAAAAGGTTGCACAACACTCTAAATGTGCTAGATGCTGGACTGTTCACTTTAAAATGAGAATTTTATGTTGTGTGAATTTTAGCTCAAAAAAACTGCCAAAACAATCTGAAAAAAATCTATACATTGAGGGCTGCCCTGGGCTACCTGGCTTCCAGCTGCAGTCACAAACATGTGCATATGACCTGAAGCTACAGCCCTGTCCCAGGCTTGAGGAACTAAAGGTGTTAGTACTCCACTGGCCTTGCAAGGCTGCCTGACCCCAGCCAGGGCCCAGCCTTTTCTGGGGACACCTGAGCTGACATCTGGGAACCCACCTACTTCCCCCCAGGTCTGAGGCAGCTGGTGGACCCTCCCTGACCAGGCCCAGCCTCCAGATCATCCACGTCCTGCTCCTCCATGCAAGCAGTGCCCTGATGCCCTCTTGGCATTAATGCCCTGGCTCCCCTGCACATTCTTCAAAACCCACTCTCATGACCCTTCCAGGAAGGCTCTCACCTACCTTCACTTGCCCACGGTGGCCCTTGACCCTACTTGAAGCCCATACTTCCATGCCTAAAGAGTACCAGGTGGGCCCCTGCTTTCCCCAGGGGCAACCCAGACACCCCCCAGGGCGAAGGCAGTATCACACTGACTCAGTCAACAGTTTCTAATGAGCACCTACCATGTGCCAATATCGCTAGAAGCATGTGGTGAATGGGGGATGAGGACCCTGCTTTTACACTGCAGCTTGAGAAGACCACGATCTAAGAGAGCAGGACGTGTGTGCATCCAAACAGTGAGGCCACCAGGCTGATAAGATAGACCAGGACGGCAAAGTTCTCCAGTAAAGACCTCGAGAGTAAATATGTTAGGCTTTGCTGGCCATACAGTCTCTGTTGTGACCACTCAACTCTGCGAATGTATCAGAAACAGCCACACAGACAACATGTGAACAGATGGATATGGCTGTGTGCCAATAAAACTTTATTTACCAAAACAGGCACTGAGCTGATTTGCCTGGATTTGCTGATCCTGGGAGAGAGGATGTCTGGGGATGAGGGCTCCTGTAAAGGCCAGGGGTCCCCCCTGTAGAGACCTGAAGATGCCAGGGAGGGAAGCAGGAGAAGAGCTGGGAAAAGGCAGATTATCAATTAGTTATATGCCAATCGATATTAAAAATTAGTAGCATAAATCTTAAATCTTTTATATTAACTTTTTTTGGTTTTTACAGTTACAGGGAGGATTTATTTTTGCCACACGACTCTGTTCCTTCCTCATAATCCTATGAGATGGTGCCAAGCCTGTGCCCATTTTACAGACAAGGAAACTGAGGCTCAGAGACATGAATGTTCCAAGGCAGAGCTAGGAGGCTCAACCCATTCTGATTCCAGAGCTGGCGCCAGGGCCGGGCCAGGATGTTCCCTTCATTATGGATGAGGACAGTGAAGCACAGAGAAGTAGCGCCCCACCCCACAGCCCCAGGAACTGGCAGAGATGAGACACGAAACTGGACAGCCTGGATGCAAACCCTGACCTCCCTCAACCAACTGTCCCCGTGCTGCCTAGGACAGCAGCCACATGTGGCTATGCACATGTCAATTTCATTTAATTCAAATTAATTAGAAGTTCAGCTGCACAAAGTGTGTTTCAAGTGCTCAACAGTCACGTGGCTAGTGGGTATTGTTCCAGATGTGCAGCTCTAGAACATTTCATTGCAAAAGTTCTGTGGGACAGCACTGCACCCTCCAAAATAGCGCTCTAATCCAATAATCGTAAAGGGCATAGAAACGGGCCAGCAACGAGCAGGCCCCACACATGCTCACTCTTCCTACTCCTCCATTATCTTCTCAGTCACACTGCCACTGGGTGGGAAACTCAGAGGCACCAGCGCCCACCCGCCCACACCTGCTTCTTCTTCAGCTTGGAGATCTGCTGCTCCACCATGGTGATCTCGCGGTCCACCCGGTCCATGTTCTGGATCAGCTCCTCCTTGGAGAGCCGTGGAGGTATCAGCTCCAGCTCAGGGTCGGTGTGGGGGGGGCTGGGAGGAGACACTGGCTCCAGCTTGCCTGTCAAGCTGCGGTCCTGTGGTGGAGAAATAACAAGCATGGGATCAGCACAAGGGACACCCCCAGTCAGTCACCTCCCATACACCCCATTTCCAGCCGTGACTTCAGCCCAGAGCACACTGGACATCTGTCATGACAGTCCCCACGTCCCAAACACAGGTTGCTTACCGACCCATCTCCCTACCTTTACCCCCACTGGTCCTCCTGCCGGAAGACCCTTCCCAGCCCACTGCTGTTCTCCAAAGGTCAGATCCTTTATAACCAAATGGAAGATTTCCCCACCTCCCCTCAAGTCATGAAGGCTCCCCTCTTCCCTTTTCCCATAACACACCTCTTATTCCACTTACCCCACTGTGTCCGCCCACAGGTTCCAAGACCCCCAAATCACATCCCCCAAGGCCTGACCTCAGCTGACCCTCCATGAACATCGCTCAGTCCAAACCAGCAAGTTACAGACTATCATGTACAGTGCAAAACAGGTTTGTAGGTAACAGACACAAACACACAAGAAAACGACACACATGGGATGTGGAGATGCTAAAGCAGTTACAGGGCAGTGGGGGAGGAGGTGGGCATTTTCACTTTCTTCTTTTTATTTAAAGTGTTTTTCTGCTTTTCCCTCAATGAGAGCTACTCTTTGTGTAATAAAGTTGCTTTCAAGAATGTGTTAAACAAGGGAATCCTTCACGGGGTTAGTCAGTGGCTCCTTCACCCACCAGCTAAAGCTTCCTGAGCCCCCAGGCTGTGCTGGAGAAGGAGAAGGGGAGAAGGAGGCAGGAGAAACCCAGTCCTCACCTCCAGAGCCCTCCCCTGCGTGGCCATGGGTTCAAATCCCCACTGCTACCTCCCAGCAATCATGACCACAAGCAGATCGTGTGACCGCTTCCTGCCTCAGTTTCCTCATCTGTACCATGGGACAACTCCCACCTCCCAAGCTGCTGATGCTGGGGTGAGTTAGTAAGTGCAAAGTGCTCAGAGCCTGTCAAACTGCAAGGGCTCCATGAAACCAGGCTCTGGGCCTGGCAGCGTGGGCAGAACCCAGCACCCACCTGTGCCATCCTCAAGGCCAAGCTGGCAGCTGCTGGCAGGGGAGGCCCTGGGAGAAGCTCCAGGCTGCCTCCTCCCACCCCTAGAGCAGCTGCACCCAGAGGACAGAGGACACATTATTCTCTGGAACAAATGCAGTCCTAGGGGCTGCCAAGTGCCATCACCCCCCTATCTCAGGACCAGCAGAGGCCAACCATCACATTTCCACCCCCCGTCCTCTGGGTCCTGGTCCTCCCCCGAGACATACAGACCCCCACAGGGCCCACACGACCCAAGGGGCTCAGGATCACATTGGGCTTGCCTCCTGGACTCATCATTTCCACCTAAGGCATGGAGAGAGGTGCAGCTGTGGCTTCCAGGCCTTCTACACACCCAGAACCATCAGGGGAAATGCAGAAAAAGCCTCACGTCTGCTCATGGTGGCCTCCACGTTGTTCAGGCAGGGGATCGAGAAGGGAGATAAGAACAAGAACAGAATAAAAACAAGGGCTGTGGACAGACAGGCTCAGGGGGCCAAGACACTTCAAAAACTGTGAGACCAATTCAGGAATAATTCTCAAAAGCAATATTAGCAAAAAGAAGTTTTCATTCCCCAAAGCTGGCAGGGGCAGCACAAGGGTTGGAGGAAGGTGGCAACTGCTAGGAACCTTTGAAAAAGTTGCTGGAAATTTTCCTTAAATTCTGGGTAAAAGCTATCTCCAGTGGGTTCTTCCTTAAGGTTCGAGCTTAGCTTTTATTCTCACCAGAAACGCACAAGTGGGCCCATCTATGGCTGAATGGATAAATAAATTGTGGTCTATCCATCTGGTGGAATATGACTCAGTTATAAAAAGGAACGAAGCCCTGACAATTGCCACAAGGCAGACGAAGCTGAGGACACAATGCCGAGTGCAAGAAGCCAGACAAAGGAGGGCATGTTGTGTAATCCCATTTACATGAAACACCCGCAACAGATAAATCTACAGGGAGACACACAAGATTGGTGGTGGCCAGAGGCAGGCAAGGGGGCTGGGGAGTGACCTCCATAGCATGGGGTTTGCTCTTGGGGAATGAAAACATCCTGGAAACTAGTGGAGGTGTGTGGATTTGCCATACAGTGAATGTACAAAACAGCAATGACCTGTTCACTTTAACGTGGTTAATTTCATTTCACATGAATTCCACCTCAAGTTTCAAAACTCCACACCCTGGGGGCAAAGAGTGCTTTCTCCGGTGCTGTGTCTTCCAGGAATGGGACCAAGGGTGCCTGGCTATTGGGCTCCAGACAGTTCTGATGGCTGCAGGCCTTCATTTCAGCCCAAAGCCACAGTACAACAAAAAACCAATACCCCGACCAGTTAGCCACTGGCACCATTTCCCCATCAGATGCCCATGGTGTAAAATTCAGGCCAACTTACAACAGGAAAACCATTATGCAAAATCAAAGGGATGGAGACAGCAAAGGCTTAAGACTAGAAGCCCCCCAGCACACCCCCTTCCCCACAGCTTCAGGAAGGAGCATCCAGCCTCAGGCACTCACAGTCTGCGCTCCCGTCAAATTCTGGGGGGTGGGCATGGGCCCTAGTCAAAGGCAAGGAGGAAAACAACTTTGGGATGGAAACATGGAGAGGGAACGCTCTCTTTTTGCAGGCCTTGAACATGGGAAGACAAAGGGCTAGAGTCTCCAACTGCTTTCATGTGAACACACCAAGACCACGTGGAGGATGGCAGAGTCAAGAGATGGACAGAGACAGGGACCTGGTGACACATCACCTGATCAAGCCATGCCTGAAGTCAGTAACCCTAGATTTCAGTTACATGAGCCACAACTCTGCTTCAGTCCGTTTGACATGGGTTTTCTGTCCCTTTCAGCTAATAGCCAGAATAGACAAAGGGACTTTCAGAAATGGTTCTGTTTATGATGATTCTAACATCCCCTAAAACAAAGTTTGGTGAATTCCAAAGGAAGCCTCTGATACCACAGGATTCCAGAGGCTCCAGGGCAGGGAAGCACATTATAAAACAGAACATTTTTATATAAAAAAGGAACACAGCTGAGGCAGGGGAGGTCAGGGGGGACTGTAAAAAAAAAAATCCCATGGAATTCCTGTCTCATGCATACAGCTGAATTCCACACAGCAGAGGCAAAGAGCATCTGAACAGTTTCAGAGTTGTGTTTCTCCCCTGGCTTCCTCCCTTGCCCAAAGTTTGCTCAAACTTTCCAAATGCTCTCAGCAGCCTGGAGCAATTATAGTAGCTGGTTCTGCCAGGCCCCACTCTGGGCCCCCATCACTCCCCCAACCCCAGGGTCCAGAAAGAGGAGAAACAGACAGACAGACAGACATAGACCCCCAAGGGGCTGTGAGGAGCAGAGGGACAGCAGACAGGAGCACAGAGCACCGAGAGGCATGGACAGCCTCAGAAGAACCCTCAGGCCAGGAGCTAGTCTGGGCGGGCAGCAGAAGCCCGGTGGGGGCTGGCCAGAGACAGCCATCAGCCTGTTCTTGGAGCAGAACTGGACACACTCTCGGGGCATGGCCCACTGGAGCTTCTGGCCCCTAGGAAGGAAATCAGCCTCGGTGGCGTGGTCCTGAGCTTCCTTCACCTCCCTCCACACCCCCACCCCCATCAGTCCAAGACCCACTTCAGGAACCAGCTTCTCCAATGTCAACACCCCTCCCAGGAGGCTGAGCAGTCAGGAAAGGAGATAGACAGACTCAGGTACTGTCAGGGGCTGGCCAGCCAGGGCAGAGGGGCAGCCACTCAGGACCAGAGGGGAAACCGGCAGCCTGCCAGGCAGGGCTGGGTGGCAGACCTGGCTGTCTGGGCTTCCCTGCCACTCCTACTCCCCAGGGGCCATGGGCAAATGGCTGCCACTCTGTCAGCCTGGCGCCCCCTCTACAAGGGAATCAGAGATGGGCCTTTATTGGGCTGGGAAGGACAGGGAAGGACACTGGCGCCTGGCTTGGTACTGCCACATAGTCAACACTCACTTAATGTTAACCTGTCTTCATCACCACTGCCACCCCGGGAATGCCCCTTCTGTGCCAGCCTCCCAACAAAAGACCCACCTTTAGTCCCATCTGGCACCAGGCATAGAAGAGGACCCTGCAGGCCCAAGTGGGCCACTTCCCTGCCCTGGCCTGGTTCTCAGCCCCCTCTCACACATCCACTCCCCTGGTACTGCAGGAAGATGAGTGCTGACACCATCCAGCAGCTGGGAGGCCACTAATGAGCTAATGTGTGCCCCCGTGGTTGTGAAGAAGCCTAATGGAACTGCTCAGCACATGTGGGGGGACATCCATCATGCAGCCAGCCATGGGTGAACATGTCACCTGGCCACAGTCCCAGCCCTACCCCAGGCATGACAGTGAAATAACAGGTTCAGAGGCAGCCGGTGACCCTGGTGTCTGACGCATGTGGGCCACTGGCTGTGATCCTCAACAACAGCCCCATCAGCTTCCTCCATGTGAAATGGAGGCCAAACAAGCTTACAGCCTCCACTGTCCTAAGGTCACCAAAGCAGCAGGGAGACATCCCACAACAGCAAACTGTAGGTACTTAACCTACGCACATTCTCCCCCCAACCTCTTAGTTCAACTTTGTGTTTTAAAGAGGAGTGACATGAAAGAGTCTTCTGGGGCCTTGAGGACATGGCAGACCCACAGGCTAGACACACTGAGGGGAGATGTCCCTCTCCAGCCAAGAAGTGCCCCACAGAGCCACCCTCATTCCTGGCTCTCCTCTCACTACCCATGCACACTCTGTGCTCTGCCCTACTTCCCAGTCTGTGCACAGGCTGTGCCCCCAGCATGGCCTACCTTCCCATTTCCCTCACACCCAGTCCAATTGTGACAGATACTCAATGGGGCCCCAGCTGGGGGCCAGACCCCACCTTGGACAAGTCCTCAGAGACCCCGGGTGGGCCAGCGGCCAGCAGAGGTGAGGGCCGCAGCAGCGGGTCGGACAGCAGCTCCAGGCGAGGGCGCTTACTCTCAATGAACTCCATCTCTGACTTGCCCAGCTCGGGCAGGTACGAGTGGGACTCAGGCCGCAGGTGAAGCTCCTGGGACCTGCGGGAGGAAGGACACATGCATCATGCCTGCTCAGCACGTGCTGTGCGTTGCACCTTCTTCATCCCCGGGCGGGGGTGCCCACCTGTGCAAGGGCACTCAGCAAGGCAGGCCTCAAACACAGAACTGCCTTCCTTCAAGTCTACATTCATGACATTTACAGGAAAAGGTGGCTCTCCACTCCCTCACCATGATTGTGGCCCACAGACCAGTAGCATCAGCTCACCAGGAACTGGTAGAAATGCAGAATCTTGAGTCCCACCCCAGACGTATTGAGTCACACTGCATTTAAGCAAGACCCCTGGGTGATCTGTTGGCATGGTCAAGTCTGAAAAGGGCCATGGGTATGACATATAATAACACCCAGGATGCTACAGGCCCATCACCCGCCAGGGGCAGACATCACTAGCTGATCACAGAACTCTTGCTGCTAAACCAGGCCTTACCTCCTCCTCAACTTGTCCTGGCCACCTGGTGCAGAGATAGGAGCTATCCAACTAATCACTCCTGATGGGCTCTCCTTCACCCTCCTCCCTAGTTTGCAGAGAAGGAAACCGGCCCAGGGAGGACATGGCCTTGCCCGAGAATGCTCAGAGGAGCCAGGACCTACAGCTACTGCTCCCTACCTGGCTTTTCAAGTTGACACATTTTCCAATAAACTCAGAATAGAACCCAAACTCACTCCCCTCCCATCCAGACCGTGCCGGTCTAGCCCTTGCTCACCTCTCCCACTGCACTCTGTGGCAGGGCCTTGGCACTCCCTAGGGACCTGGCTGGACACACACGCCACTTCTTCCTGTCTCAGTGCACACAGCACCTCCTCCTAACAGTGGTCTACTGCCCACCCACCACACCCTGGTGTCCGCCCATTCTCTTCTTTGCAACGCTGAAGGTTTGCTGGTTGGTTCGTGCATGTTTGCCGGTCCCTCCCCTACTCCAGAAGGTCTGCTCCCTGAGGGAAGGACGTTCATCTGTCTTGTTCCCTCCTTTATGCCAGTGCCTGGCACACAGCAGGTGCTCCATCAGCGCATGTAGGCTAAACAAATGCATAACTGCTGCGTGGGCTTCGCCAGGAGGGCAAGGCCCTGCCCCCAAGCTCTCCTCTCCCAAGGGTCCTCCAGCTCTTCTCTGCCCATCTCAGAGCTAGCAGCTGCACCATCACAGGGCGCCTGCAGGAAGCATGTGGTTTTTTCACTCTAACATGAAAAATGCACTGTGGTGGGTGAAAGAGTGTCCCCCTCAAAATTCATGTCCACTCAGAACCTCAGAAAATGACTTTATTGGGAGATAGGGTCTTTGCAGATGCAATTAAGCTGAGAAGAGATTGTGCTGGGTTAAGTTGTGCTCTGAATCCAGTGGCGAGCGTCCTAAAAGCAGAGGACATTCAGACAGAGGGGACAAGCCGTGGGAGACAGGGGTAGAAATGGGAGCAATGCAGCCACAAGCCAAGAGGCCTGGGGTTTCCGGAAGCTGCAAGAGGCAAAGAACACAGCCTTTCCCAGAGCCTTCAGAGGGAACATGGCCTTGCTGGTGTCTTGATTCCAGACGTCTGCCCTCCAGAACTGTGAGACGATAAATGTCTTGCTTTAAGGCCCCAGTGTGGGGTGCTTTGTTATGGCAGCCCCAGGACACTCACACAGGGTGCCAAGAACACGCTGAGCTGGGCCTCCTAATCGCCCCTGGTGCTGCGGCCTGCTCAAGCCCACCTGGGGGCACGGCCTCCCTGCTGTGGCCCTGGGATGTCTCCAGTGATACGTGGCACTGCAAAGGGCTCAGGCCTGGTCTCTGGAATTCTAGCCCCAGTGAGTAAACACCGGCCACCCTCAACCTCACAGCCCCAGCAGGGTGACAGAGGAGGAGCCAATGGGATGGGCCTCTGGGCCAGCCCATCCTCAAGGCTCCCCCTTGGCTTCCACAATGGCTCCACACAGCCCAAAGGGCCTTAGAGTGGAAGCCATAGCGTGTCCCTCCAAACTCAAAAGCCACCCACAGTTCCCATAAAGGAGGAGACATGTCCCTCTCAACTAGTGACCCAGTCCTGCACCCCCACATCTTGGCTGTCACGCCCCCCTGCCTGGGCCACATACCCAGTGACCACTGAAGGACCATGCAGAGAAGTCCAAGAGCCATGTGGCTCTTCCCTGCCCTTCCCGATCTTGCCCCGAGTCACAGCTGCACCAGGACAAGGGCAAACACACAGCCCAGCCCACCCCCCAACCCCGCACCGTGTAACACGACCTGCAGCTCTGCTCCAGAATGGGCTTCTGTCTCACCATCTGGGAAAGGCCTCCACGGCTCTGAGCAGCAGGCACGAAAGTCAATCCTCACCTTTCATTCCCAGGCTGGAATTCAGACAGCAGTGAAGGCCTCCTCCTCTGGGGCTGGATGATGGAGCTGGGAGACAGGTGTGAGGTGTAGTCACGGGGGTGGTGCTGGTACTCGAGCAGCCCGACATCCTGCAGCAAGAGTGTGGAGAAATGAGTGCCACCAACACAGGGCAGCACGGCCCGTCTGTAGTCACGGGAGCAGCAAGGCATGGCCACCCGCCCTGCCTCACAGGTGGCACTCCTTGAGCCAGTCTCCAATGAGCAGTGGCCCAGGGCGATGTGGGCCTGGTGCCTGGACCCTCACTCACAGCCACGCTTGCACATGCAGCCTCTGTGATTACACCCTTCTCCCAGTGAGGCACCCGAGCCTGCCTGTTAGCAGAGACGACTGGAAAGAGGTACAGCCTACACGTCTACCAAAGGCACTAAAGTGAACAGGTATCTGCATGAGACAGCAAGGCCCAGCACCACACACCAGGGGAGGGGTGGGCGGCACTGTGAGGTTCAAAGACCAGGTTCCAAAACAGTGCCAACTGGAGATGCCCCCGTCTTGTAAAAGGAAAACCCACACTTGTGTGTCAAATACATAAGCACAGATCAAAGTCAGAAGGAAAAGCTTCAGGTAAAACCCTCCTTCCTCAGTAAAATGCCATCCATTATCCATTATCTTCTGGGAAAAACTTAAAAACATTAATAATTTAGATATACTCAGATTATTAACTACACTGACTTGAGACACAGTAAAAAGTTATTTAAAAAGAGACAGAAATAAGTCTTTCAAATGAGTAAACAAGATCAGCTTCACGTATCAATTCAAATCAATTAGCTCTGTCTGCCTAGAACACTCAGTTATACTGTGAGTGGCAATCAATTAGTGATGTCTAAGACTGGTAAGGCTTAGGACAGAATGGGACTGTAGGTGATTCATTTTATTCTTGGCACCTTTCTTAATTCTCCTAATTTTTCATAAAAATCTAGTCATTCTGTCACTTTCTGGCTTCTCTGTTTTAAGTAGATATTCCTACAGAGAATAAGATGACCCCAGGTAAGTGTGTTGGGGATGTATGTGTTTCAGACCCTCCAAAGCAAGTATAAAGAGGCCGGGGGCTAGTGAGGATGAGTAACTGGAATCTGTAGGGACCCAGTCAATCTCAGAGGCTAGACATGTTGAGGGAAGGACCTCCCTGGGCAGCCCACCATGGGGACAAAAGGCTGCGAGATCTCAGACGGGGGGTGCCTGTCCATCACTCAACCCTCTGAGCCTCAGTTTCCTCATCTTCAACATGGGAGCCTGACGCAGAGGGAAGGACGCCCCTGTGCCTCCTCCCATTGATCCCCTTCACTCTTCTAGGTCTTCACCCAAGGCTGGTGGCAGATTCTAGAAGGCAGAGAAGGGCTCAGCCATCCCCCACACCTTGTAATGTCTAGCACAAGGTACCAGGTGCTTGCAAACTACGAGGGGCAGGGGAAAAGAAAGGACTCGAGGGAGGGAGAGCAGGCCTCCGGGATCATGTTGGCAAGGCTGCCAGGCAAAGATCTCCCGTGCACACACACAGAGAGGTGTGAGAGGAAATCAGCAGGGCTTGCAGCCTGCCAGAAGAAAAATTCTCTCCACTCGGCTGTTTTGCTCAAAAGCAAAATGAGCAAACCCACAGAGAAGCAGGCAATCCAACCCTCAGGATCTGGCCTCAGCAGGCAGGTGCCTGGAACTGCAACAGAGGCAGAAAGAGGCATGTGGTATGTGTGGTCCAAGGTGGGAGTGTGAGGAGGTCACTGCACAAACTCTCTGGCCTCAGTTTCCCAGTTGAGAAGCCAAGCAGAATAGCTCGCCAGTAAAGTCCTTTCAAGAAGCATCTTGGAGGCCATTCTGTAGTGTCCACACTAACCTCCACCCTAGGGCCTGAAGCCAGTCTCCAGGGCTGAGTCCAGGGACCCCCATGGGTGCCTGGAAGCTCTTTACAGGAAGGCAAGAATTGGGAAGACCCCAAGAGGAAAAATGACCCAAGGGGGGCTATTGTAGTCACATGAGCATAGAGTGGCAGTGGCTATGGTCAAGACAGCTCCCCCCTCTGGACTTTTGTACATGCTGTTCCCTCTACCTGGAACATTATTTAGCCAGATTTCCATATGCCTGTCCCTCTAGCTCCCTTCAGGTTTCAACTCCAATTTCTGCCTCTGAGTGAGGCCTCATTCCCTGACCCCCAACTTCAGTGAGGACTCCTCAACCTCAGCCATCCCTCCCTGCTCTTTGTTCCCCCACGAGAACATCATCTGCCTGAGGCAGGGACACTGTCCTCTTCACAGCTCCACTCCTAGGGCCTAAGAGCACCAGCACAGAAGATACCTAACAAGTGTTTGCTGAGTGAATGAATGAATGATGCTCCCAAACCATTCCCTGGAGCTGTCCCCAAGGTACCAAGAACTGAGACAGAGGAGGAGCTACAAAGCTGAGGGAGAGACCACCCAGGCAGCATTAAAGATACAGGCCAACGCTCCAACAGTCCGACCCACCTGCTCCCCCTCATGTGCCCTGTTCCCCTCTGGCCCAGGTAGTTCCCTGCTCCCTTAACCCAGGCTTGCTGAGTGACCCCTGGCTCAGGGCAGGACTGCTCCCCATGAGGACCGCTACACTGCAGGCCCTTTGGAGCTCACTGATGCGACCGAGGCATCCGAGAGCACGGCTGGCATGCTGGCCTCAGCCTTGGCTGTCCCTGTAAACTGGGTCACGTGCAGGAGGGCTACATATCGGTTAGTGACAAATTGGAAATTCATCAGACAGGTCTTCCCACAGAGAGTTTGATAAGCACTAATCTAGGGCAGGAGTCAGCAAACAGGGCCCAAGGCCAAAGCCAGGCTTGGCACAAGGCCACGGACATTCCTTGACGTCATGGCTGAGCTGCTCTTGCGTTAAAACAGCAGCAGTGCTGGGTAGCTGTGACTTGGCACCAAAAGCCTGAAAAATTACGGAGGTCTGCCCTTCCTCCAGAGGGCAAGCTCACAGCAGACCCTGCGGACTGTACATCAAAGTGCACTAACAGCTAACGCTGTTGCCACAGTAACAGTGGGGACATCAAATCACCACCATCACTACTTGGTCTCAATGTGTGCTGAGTTGGCCTTGGCACTGTGCAAGACCTCTGCACATCACATCTGCCCCTGATGCTCAGGCCACGATGCCCATACTGCAGACAAGGAAACTGAGGCTGCCCACAGAGCTTCATGAGCAGCCCAGTGTCACTCAGCAAATCGGGAAGAACAGGGATTCAAAGCCACATCTGGAGGTTCTTCTGAGCTCTGGGAGACTGCCCATCAAAGCAGCCCTGTGCCCAGAGTGCCTTGAAACACCACCCTGCCAGCCCTGGAGCACGAGGGCATGTGGGAGATAGTGCAGGAGACAGTGCATGGGAGAGTGCGTGGGAGAGAGTGGGGTCCCAGGAAGGGCACTGGTCACTGTGTCCAGGCCCCTCCCCTGCATCCCAGCACCCTGCCTCAGCTACTGTGCAAGGAGCTGGGACACCCAGGATCCCACCTGGCCCTTGAACGGGGCATTTGTCTTTTCATGCCTCGATTGCCCCTTTCCTCTGCCCTCTGTCTTCCGAAGACTCAGAAAAGGATATCATGTCACAAACCCTGCCTGCAGAATAGGCTGGGGGAAGGGGGCTGCCAGGGAGGGACCTCCAATTACACACTCAGGGTACCCAGAATCCTTGCTCTTGCCTTTCAGGTAACAAGTAGGGGTCCCCAGCTGGGCTGCCCCAGCATGAGACAGGCTGCTCTGAGATTGGGACCCACGGCTGCCACCACACAGGATTGGGACACCCCCCCCTAGCTGCCCCAGGCTCCAACTCACCCCTCGCCTAGCCTCCTGCCTGCCTGGTCCTGTCCAGCCACATCCTATGTCACTGACAGTCCAGTGGAAAAAGAGCAGGAGATGTCTGGGGTCAGCTGGTGACCCCAAATGACTAGGAGAGGGCCCAGCTGGGGCAAATGGCAGGAATGAAGTGGAAGGGTGGGGCCTATAGGAGCAGGAGACCCTTAGGCTGGGCCCATAGGGAAGGGGATGGGTGGGAGAAGGGTGGAAATGCAGAGGAGGGGCCAAGAAACAAGGGAGAAGCCAGAGGCATCTGCCAGTGACCCCCAAGGGAGGCAGCCCTCCGAGGCAGCCACAGTAACCGTGACAAAACAGTAACAACAGCAAATGGACAAATCGGGTGAGGTGTGCCACAGGCGTTAAATCAGCACATTTACTCCCCATGAGAATCTAGGAGGCAGGAGCTCTTATCACCCCATTTTATGAATGAAAAACAGGCTCAGAGAGTTAGGCAAGCGGTCCCATTTCCTCCCCCGCAACATGTTCCCCACCTATGAAACAGAGGGCATAAGAGACCCAACTCTGGGTAAATAGGTGGAGCAAGCCTAACTAGACACACAGGGCTCTGAGCAAGACATGTGCCATGTCGTCGACGCTCAGTAAGTTTTATTTGGTTACTGTTACTGGTAGTCACGATAAAGATGGTGACAAAACGTAACAATGATTCACCCCCAGGAGCATATTCCCCAGCTCTGGGCACACAGTAGGTACCTAATAAATAGAGGCATCCCTGACGGGGCCTCAGAACCCTGAAGCTGAAGCATACTGCCTCCTCCCAGTAACGTGCCCTGAGCCTCGCTCCCCTCAGCTGCAATGTGGGGTGATAACACAAGCTCTCTCGCTGGGGTGCTGGTGAGACTCCCAAGGCCCCAGGGGAAGTTCTCATGACAGGGCCCCACAGTGCTCCTGCTCAGCACAATGCCTCAGCAAAGCGCCCTGGAAACCCAAATCCTCAAGAGGTCACAGTGTGTAAGACACCCCCACATGGGCCAGCAGGTTCACCTGCAAAATTGTCTGGCTCAAGGATGGAAACACAATCCTGTGCCATTTCCTCTCAGTGCCTTGTAAGGAGAGCCCACACGGGCCAAGCAGGTCACACACACACACACACAGGCCAGCAGGGCCAGCTTCTAGCCCAGCTGTGACAGCAAGGCCTCACGTCTCTGTGCTGAGCAGTCAGGAGGCTAAAGAGGGGTGGCCTAGGACCCCGAGGGCCCTCTGGCAAGCACCCAAGGACATGGTATACAGTAAGTAACCAGTAAATACCAACAGAGCAGAATCTAAGGCCCACTCTCAGGGCCACACGATGCAGCTAGAGGTGAAGGCAGAAAATGCAGCCCCTGCTAGGAGGCAGACAGAGTGGGGCAGACCGAGGGCACACAGGTGACAGGGAGGCACGCCGAGAGCATGCTGCTTCCCAGTGGGCAGGCCATCCCCCCACAAGGCAATGGCTCCTCAGTGAGCAGAACCAACACTGAGGCCCCCAGTCAGGGCTTCAGAGCCATGGCCTATGCTGGGTCTCACGGTCTCAGGGCCACAAGCATCCCCACAGTGGGCAGAGTCCAGGCTGGCACTCGAGAAGCGGAAGGGCTTCGAGCAATGGCCCACAGGAAGGCACCGGAATCCGAAGTACAGAGGAGCTCGGGTGAGGCTTGGCTGTAAGCCAAGTATGTACAGCAGGCACTACACATCTGCACACAAATTCCACTGTTGGCTCTGAGAGGTACAGACCGCAGCTCAGCCGGGCCCCATCTCCATCGGGGAACTGAGGTTTGCAGATGTCCTGAGGCCTGGGAAGGTCTCCAATACCAGTGGTCTCTGCCAAGGCACCTGACCCGCCCTCAGGGGTCACAGAGAGCTCCGGCTGGGACCAGCCTGGGCTTTGGGGAGAGAAGGATGGGGCAGGGACTTGGTGACAGGGAAGGGCTCAAAGAGCACCCCTTACCGTGTGGGGCCGGGCAATCTGCACAGGGTAGGAAATGCCATGGGGCGGGTAGCGGGGCTCCGTGGCCCTCCACGTCTGTGCCACAGGCTGCGTGGATCCCGACATGGCAGTGGGTGTCCAGGGGCTTTGGGGCCCTGGTAAGCTCCTTCTCAATGGCCACTGAAGTTAAAAGCCAGTCCTCGTCATCTGCTTTCAGGCCACCCTATTACAGGCACCTAAGAGAAAACCAGAAGAGAAAATAAAGTCAGCCACGGGGCAGCAGCACCCCAGGGACCCTGGTGGGGCCTGCAGCCATGCCTGGTTCTGGGGGAAACAGCCAGCCTGCTGGTCCTCCCAGCCCTCCCCAGGCCACTGGCATGCCCCTGCCCACCCAGCAGACAGGGGAGGACCCTCAAAGCCACGGGCCAGGCTGGTAGCTGCCACATGAGCCTCATCAGGAGAGCTGTGCCCACACCCCAACCACAGCCTTGCCATGCAGGCACAGGGCCCCAACTCTGTGGGCACAGCCCCCACCAGTTCCCAAAGGGTCCCAAACCCCCTTGGCCACCCAACCTCACCCCAGGGCCTCCTTGGGTTTCTGAGTCACCAGGGCAAAGTTCTCCAAAAGCACTGGCAACTCAGGCAGGCAGCTGGGGGCCTGTCCTGAGAAGCACAGTGTGGGGAGGTACACAGCTGTCCTGGGCATGGTGGACGGGTCAGCTTGGGCAGGATGTGCAGCTCCCAGGGAAACCCCAGGCAAGATCAGGCCTGCCTGGCCTCCCAGTGACCCTCTGCAGGAGCAGAGCTGGAAGCAGGGGTACTGGCAAGCCAAGTGCCACACCAGGGAATAGCTGTGGACATGGACAAGGGCCTGTCGGGCTCCAAAGGGCTCCCGGGGGCAGGTAAATAGTGCCTTCCACAGGAGAGAAACCACCCACATCCAGGCTGGAAAGAATCTCAAGACAACAGTCCAGTGTCTTAACAGACAGGGAAACTGAGACCCAGAAAAAAGAAAGGACCTAAGTCAAGGGGACAAGGGAGCCCACAGTTGGAAGCTGCCTTTGCCCAGAAACCTCTGGGGGCCCCATGCTTCCCAGAATCCTCTCGGCCTTCTGCCTGCTGAGGATACTTTACCACTGGCTCCTCTGCCCACACCCGGATTGAGGGCCCGGCACTCCCCAGGCCTCCCCACTGTCAGGCCCAGCCCACCACCTGCATCCCTGGAGCTGGGGAAAATCCAAGAGTGTGCAGGGGCCCAGCTCCTGGAGGCTACCATGTGCTGGGATGGCCAGGGCTGCCTCTCATGTGATCAGGTACATAGAACAAACCCCAGCTCTCCAGAATTTCATCATGAAGTCCCTCATCACCCAGCCCTGCCCCTGACAGCTATCCCTTGGGAGGGCTGCGGGTTTGGGCTCTCACACGCTCTATCTGTGGGAGGGCTAATGTGGAGGAGTGCTGGGAGGGACACCTGAGACTGTGGGGGTCAGAAGAGTACCCCTAGAAGGGGCTCTAACTGCACCCCCGCCTCACCCCCACCAGCTACCATAGACTTGACTTTCCTCTCCCAAACCATCCTCCCTCCCCAGGCTCCAGGAGTATTCAAGCAATCAAGGCTTGGCTAGTCAGATTCCTGCACCTCATGGGCCAGTGACTGGTTCAGGGATAGGCATGTGGCCCAAGCTGAGTCCATCAGAGCCAGTCAGTCCAGGCTTTTGCTGGAGGAGTCAGGAACAGGTACTCTCTGCCAAGGATCTAAGCTGAACATCTAAGCTGGGCAAATGAAGGCCCATGTGGCAGGAGAAGGATGCCGATGCCAAAGCAGGGGGGCAGAGCTGGAGGGCGGAGAGTCAGGTCCTGATGACAGCCATGCCTGAAGGCATATCCAAGCCTGCTTATTCATTTCAGAGAGCTGAGGCCTGCCTTCTGTGTGTTTTGCCTTTGCCAGCCCAACTAGGGTTTCTGTCACCTGCCATCAAAGTTCTGACTCAGCCAGAGACAGAAGGAGGAAACAATCCTTGAATTGGGTGCCATCAATCCTTCCAAGACTGAAAAGCCAAAGAACTCCAGAGCCCATCTGCACAAAACCTCAGGAAGCTGCCCACATGGACTTTCCCCAGCTACCAGGACAGAACGTGCCCTGTCATTCTTATGAACATGGGAACAAGCCCTGCTCAGCGAACAGGAGCTCCTGTTATTACACTCCCCAGCACTGTCCCTGTAGGAGCTGCAGCCCTGTGCTAAGGATGCTCTGATGTGGAAGGGAGGAAGAGCTGCCCTTGTTAGAGCCCAAGGGCAACGTGCCATTTCTCCTGCAGCCCAGGGAAGAAACTGGCTTTGGGAGGGTCTGCCAGGGCTGGACCCCATTCCAGAATTCCCCTTGTCCCAGCTCATCTCAAAGCCCAGCAGACCCTGGCCAAGCCAATTCTATTCCACCCTCTCTCTGGGCTTTAAACAGCTGCCCCCTCTCCAAGGAGAAGAGGGCAGCATTTCAGCAAGGAGGCGGTGACACTACCTGCCCCTCCTCCAAAAGCACCATGGGGGACTTCCAAACTGCTGTTTGATTTTGCATTGCATAAGGCAGCCAAGAAGTCTGATTTACCCGTAACCATTCTAACCTCCTTTGCCTAACTAAATGCCCACTGGGGATGGCAGGCCCCTGCCAGATGCGGTATGCAGGGCATACAAGCTCCAGAAGCCAGGAGGTGATTCCTGGAGAATCCTGGGCTGTAGCCCCACTCTCCTCATGCCAAGACCTAAGCCTGACTAGCTTCCCGCTCCCTCAAGACTCAGGGTATCCACCCATGAGCCCCCACTGCCCAGCCATCCAGAGGTTACCCCACTGGCTTCTTGGCTCAGCACCCACACATGCAGGTTGTCCCCAAAGCCAGGGGATTGTGTACCTCTGTGACTCACTACAAGCTTATTTAATAAACCCAATTTCCATCCTTCCAACCTCAATCACGTTTACTGCCAACTCAAAATTAAAAAAAAAAAATTAGGGAAGCAGTTAGGTGGTTCCTCAATAAGTTAAACATAGAATTACCATATGACCCAGCAATTCCACTCCTAGGCACATACCCAAAAGATTTGAAAACAGGGACTCAGACAAATACATGTACACAAATGTTCATAACAAACTATTCACAAAAACCAAAAGAGGGAAACAGCCCAAATGTCCATCAGCAGAGGAGTGGATAAACAAAATGTGGTCCATCCACACAGTGGAGTGTGGTTCAGCCACAAAAGGGAGGAAGTCCTGACACCTGCTCCGCCATGGAGGAACCTTGACAACATGATGCTGAGTGAAAGGAACCAGACACAAAAGGCCCCTGTACTGTGTGATTCCCCTAGTGGGAAATACCCTGTTCTGGACAAATCCACAGAGGCAGACAGCAGGTAGGAGAAAGCAGGAAAGAGGAGGGGCGGGGGCAGTGCCTGCTAACAGGCACAGGGTTTTCTTCTTCGGACAGGAGGCCCCTCAGCTCTGAGCCTCAGTTTTCCCAGCTGCAGAAGGGACATGAGAGTTCCTGCTCCATGGGACTGCTGGGGGGAAGGCATGTTTTAAAGGCCTGGTAAACAGCAGGTGCTCCACAAGGCAAATAAGCAAGCTCAGGCCTCCAAGGAGAAAAGACCACACTCCAGCAAGGTTAAGAACTTGCTTAGCCAGTGGCAAAGGACACTTCTGAACCCCAGAGACCCAGGACCTAACCAGGGGATACCCAAGGCCCTACCAGACCGTGCATTTTGAAGCCACAAACCACAACACTCTGGCCACCAAGCCCACCAGAGGAGGACCACACACTCCGAGCCGCATGCACAGTCCAGTGTGGGGTTCCCCACATGCACCCAGTGGTTCCAGCATGGCCCTCTGCCACTCCTGCCCGGAGGAGGCCCACAGCAAAGGCCATTCCACTGCACACAGGAGGGCCACACAGGCTGTGGGTCCAATGTGACAGCACCACACATTCCTGCCGAGCCCACGTTCCCTTGTTCCCACCCACTGTGCAGCTTTGCCAAGGCTTCCAGACCCACAAGAGAAAGCTCACTACCAGGGTTTCCACCTGCCCACTGCCTGCTGCATCCCTGGAGCTATCACAGGGCCGGGCATGCAGCAGAGGCTCGAAGAATGAACCTATCCAGTAGAGGTGAGTGTCAGTAACACAAGGGGAGGCCAGAGCCCCCCACATCTGCATCTATCCCCACCCTGCTGGGGAGAGGCCTCGTTTCTGGGGAGATGGACCTGAAATGTTCTCAGGAGGCCCCTACCCCACCTTCCCCTCCAGCCCCAGCCAGGTTGGCTGAGGCTGCACAAACACAGGTCCCACAGATTTACTGTGTAGAGAGCGGCCTGATTCAGATCTGGGGAGCGGGGATGTCTGGGAGTGGGGAGGGCAGGAGCTTATTAAGGTGCTGGAGTGCCGAAACATGCCCAGAGCCTTCATACCTATGCCCAGGCCTCGGAGAATACAAAAGGCCAGCTGTCCACACCACACGTGCTGGGAATCTGTTTGGAACTAATGGGCACCAACACGCAAACTTGTGGAAGGTAGGGGAGGCTCCAAATTAAAATTCAGCTGCCAGGCAGGAGAGAAGCCCCCAGCATATGCACACATATACACTCCTCAGACCCCTCCAGGGTGCTCAGAGAAGCTGTGATTGCCACCGAGGGGACACAGTCTGTTCCAGCCCCACCCAGCCTGTCCCAGGCAGGGGCACATGGATACACTGGGCACCTACCTGCAGGCAGGGACCCAGTGGTCTCCCCTACCAAGGTCTCTTCAGCATCTAGAGGTGCCTCTACAATAGCTATTCAACATGCACTCATTCTGAGTCACTGCTGAAGCCCTGTGAACAGCAGGGCACCTGGTGCACAGTAGGGGTGCTAGTTTCCTGGCACTGCCATTAACAAATCACCACAAATTGGGGAGCTGAAAACAACAGAAGGGCATCCTGTCACAGACCCGCAAGTCTCAAGTCCAAAAGCAACATGTCAGCAGGGGAGGGTCCTTCCTACCCCTTCCAGCTCCTGGTGGCTCCAGGTCCCTTGGCTTGTGGCTGTATCCCTCCCATCTCTGCCCATCCTCGGGGAGATAGCCACGGCTTTCTCCTTTGTGTGTCTGTGTGTTCATTACGGGCCTTTCCTCGGCCTTTCCTCTTTTTAAAAAGACACTGGTTATACTGGATTCAGGGTCCACGCACTCCCGTATGACTCCATTTTAACTAATTACATACC